GACATAAACCTTGTCTTTGATTGTTTCTTTATTAGGTAAAATGGGCCCACACTGATCCCCAAAAGTCTACAACTGTCCAACATCTTCCGTCGGAAAGTCGATAGTTTTTGCGATTTCCAAAATTGTAAAAACTTTCCCGACTTGAACGTCATGTTTATCGCGATGGGAAACAGGAAGTGAGATGAGGCTGAAATCGTGAGTAGAACCCATACCGTCAAAAACGTTAGGGGATAGGGGACCGTCCAACTCAGCTTGATAAGAAGATATCCAGACACAGAGTAAGCACCGATTGCAACCAGTAATCCGACCGGAAGCATGTAAAATAGGGCCTGGTTATGTGCAACGTTGAGAATTTGAAGTTTTCGATATTTTCGAAAATATAGCGGGAATTTAGCAGTACTTCCAGTTTGGTGAATACATGGACCGTTTTCGATAACGTTCCTAGGGATGCAGTTTTCTTTAAAGATGAACAATTGGGATCGTCGTCTCGCTCTGTATGCTGAAATAGCCTCGGATTTGTTATTTCCCTCAGACAGGTATGAACTGGTAAAATGGAACTTGAGAGGTTGATGATAAACCCGAAAATTATGATGAGACCGTGAATGGAAAACAATACCGTGATGAGTACACGGATTAAGATTTTGACCGGAGGCCCGATAAAGAATGATATTTGGGCCATGTATGGCTTGTGTCTGGGAACTCTGGGAAAATTTGGAAAAAATTTGATGTGGGAAGTATACTTCGGCCCACCCTTGGCACAAAGGTGGTATGCCGAATGTCAACTGTGGACCACGATTGGCCCGTAGTTGAAACCCCAAGTTTGGTTTTATTATGTGTCCACACCGACGGGCCATACAAAATATTTACCAAGTTTCCCGAAAATGAAATTGCAAATGTGGCCCAGAAATGGGACATAGTAGATTTGCCCCAAGTCTGGCACAGTCCGGGATATCGTGCTTTGGCCCCGATGATCCAATCCCATCGTTGCCCCACGTTCCTTTGGCTAGCTGCTGGCCCTATCATTTTGGTGCGCTCGTGATTAACAAATTAGGTTTAGTTTTTTCACGTTGTCGTCGGGAAGCAAGATGTCTTCTCCGCACTTTTCGTCCAAGTTTTCCGTGGTAGAGTTTTTAGAGGAAAAGTCTTTTGCCGCTGTCCCCTCAACTTGCTTGTCTGAAGAGGACGATAAGCAAATGTGCTATTGGCCTAAGGTGTAAAGCTTTTGGAATTGATCCATTACTCAGAAAGTAAGCCCAAGTCAACTTGGAAAAACTTGGAGGTGAAGATTTTTCGATCCTTTGGAAGTGGTAAGTAAATCATATTTAGCAGTAATTATGTACATTGTAATATGAGAAAACATTATTATATTTAACCATATTTATAGATGACTACAAGAGAGCTAATTCGAATGTGGACGAAGCAAGATTTTTGAGTTCTGGCGAAACACAATCAAGCTCCAGTGACTCGGAAAATTTGAATTCGAGGAGAAATAAAATTCATTCGAAGAATCCAGTTGAAACAAACAATTTACCCTTCAAAGCACCGGGTAAGAACTCAAATGGTATTTTTTTAGTATGTTATTGTTTTTAATAATTAAGTTTATTTTCTAAGCATTCAATTTATTATCAGGCCAAGCGACTCCTTCCTCGTCATCGAGTTCAGCTGGATTTTACTCCTATTACAAATTCGACAACAGAAGAGGATCTCTCTGCCCCTGGCTCCGATTTAAATATCTCAGAAGTTACTCTATTTGTTATATACAGTTCCATCGGAGTTTGATAACAGTAATGCACATTAGTAATTTTTAGTTCATTTACAAGTTTTAATCACTACTTTTAGAAATAACCGGCATGGAAAAATATTTGACAGTCAATGTGATTTTTATAATTATCCGTGTCCTAGCAAAAATATCCAGGTTATTCTATGTAAAGGTATTCAGAAATTAATTTCTTTTAAAATTGAAGATATTTTACAAAAGTTATTTAATTCCAACCATATCTGTTAATGCGTATATATGTATGACTTAGCTTTAATTTAGTATGTAGCTAGAAATAGTACTAATTATGTATATTTGAAATTAACAAGGTGCAATAAAAATATGTATGTAAACAGGTATTCGGCAAACATGTGGCAAAGTTATGTCCAAAGTATGGCACCTTAATAGTAGATACAAGTGGCCCATATTAGGGCCAATTAGGGGCAACCACGAAAATGACTATGCGTCCCAGACTTGGGCCAGTTCTGTGCCTGATTCATATGATCTCGGGGAAAAGTATGGCCCAGCTTTTCCCCAACTATGGATCAAATAAGGCAATAATCTCCGGTGCACTATGTTTCCCTGATGTCAAACCGGTACATAGGCCATACTTGCGGGCTACTGTGCCCCAGACACGGCCCACAAATAAATTCTTTATCGGGGGGGAAATCCATGTAAAATTCCGGAACAAAAAATAGGTCGGGTCGATATTGCTGAGTAAGATTGGCGTTGTAGACACAAGAAATGCAACGACTAGCGGGGCGGGATTCATAAGATTTAAGAGTAGTCCGAGGGCGAAGTTGGATTCACCTTAAAAATGAGAAGATAGTATTGTTTTTTATTATAAATTAGCAAATTATTCCGCTTAACAACTATGTAAGTAAGTTTAAGGGAGATTGCACTCTAAATAATGAGATGCATGAGGGTGGAGGGCAAGGAAAATAGGAAATTGTTATATTTAAAATAATACAAATTCTGAAAATGTGAATGTTGAAATACAAATACAACTTGTACCTTCATTTTGACTAAGCGTCCTCATGTTTCCGAATATGAAACAGATTTCGTCTACTTTCAGCATAAATATGACCATGCAAACGATTGTCAGACTATTAAAGCACAAGTAAATGACTAGCATTAAGACTTGTGTTGAAGAAACATCCTTCTGGTAAGCGATTAGTTCTGAAATCGCAAGGCAAATAAAATGAGATGTCATAAAGATTGTCAAAATCGAGAAAAACCACAAAATCAGACACTTTATCGTAGTTGGTCTCGGTTTCCATGTCAACCTGTCCCACGTGATGTATTGAGGGTACAAATATTCGCTCCAGATTGCGAACCTTTCCACGGCGTCGAAAATTCCAAGAGGAAGAAGAGCAAGGTTTCTTGGGTGGAGGTTTTTAAAAATTCGTTTCAATTTTATAAACTTGACATTTTCTTTAAATTTAAAAAACCCCATGATTGCGATGACTAATGTGAATAAGAAATTAATGTGAATACTTCATGACTTCGACTCTGGGCCTTGAATTTATGGATTTTGTTGACTTAATTATGAATTAAGTTAACTAAGTCCGCACAATTAATAGCTTAAGTTAATTATTCAACTTGATTAGGTGAATTAACTATGTACTCAAATATTTAAAATAAAAAATTGACGAGGCTTATAAAGTTGCTTGAATGATCATTTATCTTATTGTCTATACTGCTTAGTGAAGCAGGAAGTTGATTTGATTACGATTACGTCAAGGACAATATATCAACATAATGCATTTTAGATAAAATGTTTTATTCTCAAAAATGATATTAACTCGTCTCATAAATAAATATTTATGCATAGATGTTTACATACATATTTTGAACAAGTACATATACATGCATTCTGCGCCATAACGAATACTAAAGGTTTTGAAATACATAGCCAGATATATTGATTTTGTCTAGAATTTTTAAAACTACGTATGTATTTACATGATTAAAAAAATGTAATCAAAGATTATGTAGATAAACAAATGCGTACATATTGATGAAGGAAATTTCATTAATATGAGGAAGGACTACATAGTACATACGCTGATTTTTTGTTATACCGAATATTTTCTAAGCAGTATTGCCCTTGGCGAAATTTTTCATGTTCATCCGAAGCCATAGAAACTTAATATTACATGAGACGCATGAGACCACGGAATGGTTGTCATGGTGATTCAAATTGAGCAAAAAATCGAAATAATGTTTCATAAGTACACAATAATTCAAACTACTAATTTGTGGTTGGTTGTCATATTTAGTAATTTATGCTTAAGTAAAGTTAAAGTAATGTAAGTTAAGTAAAGTAAAGTAATTAATTTTCATGAAAATGTTCAACTTTTACATATGGCGAATGTGAGACTATTCTCTGCGAATTAAATACTGGATGATGTACTACCTACCGCCTAACGCCTAGCTTCCTACCGCCTAGTGCCTACCAGGTACTTCCTACCGCCTAAAGACCTAGCGCCTACTTCCTAACGCCTAAAATATCTAGCGCCTACTTCCTAACGCCTAAAATATCTAGCGCCTACTTCCTAACGCCTAAAATATCTAGCGCCTACTTCCTAACGCCTAAACGCCTATCGCCTACTTATTAACGCCTAAAATGTTTACCGCCTAAATTTTTTTTACATTTTTCAACGTTTCACACTATTTTATTAGTGGGGTACTTCTAGCTAGCTCTCCTAGCTAGGAGTTCTAGCTAGGACTTCTAGGTAGATCTCCTTGCTGAATATTTCACGCTTTCCGCGTACCTAGTATAACTAACCTAACCTGCTCGCTTCGCTCGCTTAAAAACGAACAATACCCCAATGTGGGGCATAATTGTGACAATCGATGACACTTTACCGCAATAATCTCATAGTGCCCCACTGTTATAAGAAGAAATTATGATTTCCATGATATTAAATTTACAAAAATCTCAAAGTACCCCACTAATAGAATAGTGTGAAACGTTGAAAAATGTAAAAAAAATTTAGGCGGTAAACATTTTAGGCGTTAATAAGTAGGCGATAGGCGTTTAGGCGTTAGGAAGTAGGCGCTAGATATTTTAGGCGTTAGGAAGTAGGCGCTAGATATTTTAGGCGTTAGGAAGTAGGCGCTAGATATTTTAGGCGTTAGGAAGTAGGCGCTAGGTCTTTAGGCGGTAGGAAGTACCTGGTAGGCACTAGGCGGTAGGAAGCTAGGCGTTAGGCGGTAGGTAGTACATCATAATACTGGGAGTATTAAAAAATCCAATGTTATTAAATTGTGCAATCAGCTTTCACTCTTTCACTTTTCAGCTTTTACAAAGATTGCAGTTTTAGAGTTTCGAGTTTGTTAATTTGGAAAAGTTAATTAAATAAAACCACAAAGATAAATTGGTTTCTATGGGAAATATCCTTGGAAACCAACAGCCCGAGCAGAAACAATTATCCGCAATGGAGTTGAAAGAAATTCGTGGAAATTTGGAAAAAATGATCAAGGAAAATAAAGTCGTCGTCTTCTCAAAAACTTATTGTCCTTATGCGTATGTTATCATGAACTTATTTTAAATTAAATTTTGTACGTGGTATACTTATTTACTTATATTTTTTACAGGTTAAAAGCGAAGAAGGTAAATTACTTTTTCTCTTATGTGTTATGTAACATTATTGTATCCATGACAACGACAAATATATTTATTTTAACAGACATTGGACAACTTGACAAAAAATTATCTCGTGATTGAATTAAACGGACATCCACAAGGTATTACAAACAATAAATTTGTATAATAAACTATTTTTAACGAAAAAATTTGCTTAGGGAGTGAAATTCAAGAAATCTTGGCTCAGATGACAGGTGCCTCCACAGTTCCTCGAGTTTTCGTGGGAGGAGTTTGCATTGGGGGAGGAGATGACACGGTCCGATTGTATAAAAGCGGAGAGTTAGAAAAAATGCTTACAAACTGAATTACTTATATGGCAATAAATTTGTAAATTAATTTTTATTATAAAAAACAACAATCGATCGAATCATTATAAAAATAGTTTAAACATGGTAATTATTACTCTCCACCACCCCCACCCATCCTGGTTGGATCCATACTAGGATAATACACCACGCCCGGTGGTGCCATAACATCTGGTGCTAAATTTCCGGTAAAAAATCCACCCAAACCACTCCCACCTACGGCTCCGGTAAAGTCTGGTAATCCAGGCACACCCACAAGTTTACTCCCACCTGCACCTGATGGGTCGCTATCTTTTTTACCGCCCCCACGACCCCAACGCACTGTTAACCGTCGTCCGAGTAAAATAAGTTTGTTAAAACTTTTTTCACTCGCTAATTCTGCACTTTCACGCTTTGTAAATTGTACAAATGCACACTGTTGCTTAGCAACCATGGATATACTTCGGATTTCTCCTGTATAATCAAAGTCAAAATTAATTAGAATTAAATTATTCATCAATTAATTTATTACATTAGAAAATTATAACTAACCAAACTGATAGAAATGATCTCTCAAGTCCTGCTCAGTCATAAATTCTCCAGTATTTCCAATGTACAGGGTGGTAATGGATTTATCCTCCGGTGGTGTCAATGTGGGTAGCGCCGTTGCTCTTCGCAACAATTTGTCCGCCACGGGATCATTGGAACCATAGTAACGATCTCGAATATTTTGATCGGATAATGGATCGTCCGGATCCGTTGGTTTCTCGTGACGATAAGGACACTCTTCTCCTCTGCTGCATTCACCTAAAAAAATAATATGAATTACGTTGCCATGACAACTGAAGGTATTGAAAAATATATTTTATAACTATAACAATAAAAACGAACCTTTAACCCAAAAAGAGCAAACGTGTGGCCGATTTCTTTTATAATACGGCGTAGTTCGTGCTAATTTCATTAATAGATCAGACGGCGCCGTTGCCTTGCCAACCTCGCCCAACGCCACCGTGTTGTCCGTTGAGGAGGACTAAAAAATAATACATAAATTGTCATGGTAACCATTTCAATAAATAATTAGAAACATTGGCAACAAAACCTAAATACCTCCACATTCTGAAGATAATATTCCTTGTTGACATCGCTCCTTGGTAACGCATCTCGAACTTTGAGAGCATTATCTCGAACTTGAGTCGGCAATCCGTACTCCAAATCCAACAAACACGTCTGACAAACGTTTTTCAATTTTGCACATGTTTGGCAAACTTCTGTTTTCTTGAAACGCATTTTTGCTCCGGGACACCATCGGAAAATTGTGAAAGGTCGGTTGCAAATTTTACACTCTTGACCAAAACGATCCTTCGTCATTCGGACATATGGATTGTCTCCCAAACACGTTTCGCACAACAGGGGGAAGTCCTAATAAATTTAAAAAAAGTTAATTTCCACGTTTACTTAAAGTAAATTACTTTTATAATGAATTTTTAATTCTTTTACTTACCGAGTCTTCCCAATTTTGCCGATTATAAGTGTTGGTAGTCTTGGACATGGACATGTTGACTTTTGTATACGTAAAACTGGATGTGGTGATTAAAATTAAGGTGGAAATGTAATTGTATAATTGTGTAATTTAATTATTTTGAGGTGATGTGAAATTAAATTAAATTTCAAGGATTTTTTTTGTAAATATAAAATGCGTTTGTTTATTTATAAACTCGCCGGACAGAGTTTTGATTGCGCAGGATTTAGTCTTTGTTGGCGATGTGTAAGCTTTTTTTTGCATGAATAATTTTGCATGTAACACTTTACATAATAAAAATTAATTAACTAATTAATACTCCCAACAGATTAAATCGTGTTACTAATCCATACAGCATTGATTAATTGTAATAGAAAGCACTAATACGTAACGATTAAGTAAAAATAATATTTCATTATTTCTCCAGCCCTTAAAATCATGGATGTGCACATCATTTTAATTTATCAAATTTGTAAAGACCAAAAGAATAAATACATATTGATAAATATCACTTTGATCTTATTAATTTCAAATACCTCTCCTAATTAAATAGTCTTAAAAATATTCCTAATTAAACTTTCCATATTAAAAAAATATTATTCATGAGAAGCAAGAAACAAACAAAGAGAAGCAAGCCGCGATTCTCATGAGGAGCCATCTGGCCGTCAGCCGTCGTCAAGCTAGTCGTCAGCCGTACTCAACCTGGCCGTCAGCCGTCAAACAGTCAAGCTGACCGTCAGCCGTTAGCCGACTCAACCTGGCCGTCAAAAAAAATTTTTTTCAAGTTACCCCAAATAATTTTTTTCAATTTACCCCAAATTGAAAATTATTTCAAGCTACCCCAAATTGAAAATTTTTTCAAGTTACCCCAAAACATTTTATTTTCAAGTTACCCCAAATTGAAAATTTTTTCACGTTACCCCAAATTGAGAATTTTTTCAACTTACCCCAAATTGAAAAAGTTTTCAACTTGCCCCAAATTGAAAAATGTTACCCCACATCATCAATATTAGTAAAATGTTTTATTCAGGACTACTTGTATGAAGGTGTAAAGTTATATAAAATTGTAGATAGGAGACAAGTACGGTGAAAGTTCAATTACAAGTTAACAGTAAGTGCACCCATTATTTACATATCAAAAAAGTATGTGTAGTGTGTGGTTAGATATAGAGGAACTATAATTGAATTGAATTCGTTATTATATTTGTGTTACACACGGCCTCAGTGGATTAACCAAAGCTTAACCATCCATATAGTGCTGAGCCTGTGCCATTTTGGAGCATCCCCAATCTTGTAATTCGTAAGTGTCTGCGGGTTTAGTCCGTCATATTTATATAGTTTCCGTTGGTAGGAGAACACTGCAGTATAATGACTCCTGTACAAAAGAGTGTAGCCAAATAGAGTATATTTTGTTCCCAGTATGGTTTAAGTCTGTGGAACATCTTGCTCAGTTGGATATTCTTGCCCACCATGGACCAAAGGATAACAAATGAAAGGACAAGGACCCGATTCGGTCCAGGCGAAGGATGTCGTCATTACCGGCCCATCCTCTGGTCGGTTCGCGTTGGTGCAATTATCGCAGCAAGATTCTGATAAATTGTTCAACATTGTAGCAAAGAGGTCTGGGCTCCTGATACGCAAGTCCACCATAGGGTTAGTCACCACTGATCTATTTAAAGGGCAGCCATATGGGCATGAATATTTTGCCATTATTTGGACAAGAAATTTTATTGAATTTAAAAAGTTGTCCTCGGAATTAATTAGATCTCCGTCAGTTAGACTGTCGTTGCTTAATTCAAGTAAATCCAAGGGGGTCATTTTTCTAGCTTCTTCAAACTGGCCTTTCTCAATCTTCCTAAAAATTCCACACAGTTGATTCCCTTTAGCATGATTGGGCTTATCGAATTTATCGATATGTGCTTTTACGTGACGGAAGATAGAATTCATTGCATAGATAATCTGTGAAAAAGATTACTCTTAATTTTATGTATTCAATGTATGTATAAGTACATAGTAACCTGTAGCACACTGTCAATGTTACAAGTATTTGATAGTTTGATGATCCTGCTATTGTGCTTAATAGTTCCACCGTAAGGTATCCTTGGGACACCATGCAAAACGGTGAAACTTTGCGACATTACAGGGGGAGACTGGGGTCTTCTCCAACTTTCACTTTGTCGTTCAGGTTGACTGTTGTCTCTATGTTGAGATGCCACCTGGCCATCCTTGTGTTGTTCAGTTCGCCCTGTCTTTTGGGTAGTTGTCTTATTCTTTCAAACACCTCCTATGTAAGCAGGAACACATTTAATTAACTCCTGTGGGTTTGCTGCATAATATACTCACCGGTGCTTTTTCTCGCCGTCTATTTTTGTTGTTTTCTGTGCAGCTTGCTCTACCTGAAATGATGAAACTGCTGCAGGATCTACTCGCTGTTGTTTAGCAATTTCGTGTTTTACTAAGACATTCTCGAATTGAATAGCCCGGTCTGGTGCAAAATGGTAAATGAAATAAATCATCACTTTGACGCAATTAAATTCGTAGTTGTACCTTTGATAACCGTAGCCTGTTCTGCAATAAATCTAGACATTTTTATTGGTCGGTTTGTGTGCTCATCCTTCTTAACAATTTTATTCCAATTCTCGACAATGCTGTTCGTGTCTTCCTCCACTGCAATATTAATTGATAATTAGGCACACGATTAAAATTGCTAAGGATAACTTACCAGATAAACCGTTTGATACCATTAGTGAATGATCGAATAATGGTTGCATGACAAAGACATTTTCAATCAGGTATATTAACACTTGAGGTTGGTAATTCAGAATTCCAGGTCCTTGTGGTCCACCAGGAGCAACTTCATGTACTACACTTCAATACAACAACAGTTTTTAAAACCTGCTGAAGGTGAGTAAGGTGATCAAGGAAAGAAAAGCTAGTATATCTCGTTACAATTATTCATTAACTTGTTTAAGTACAACCTCGTTGCATACTTTGGATAAGCTTAAAAAATTTTCAATTTGGGGTAAATTGAAAAAATTTTCAATTTGGAGTAAGTTGAAAAAATTTTCAATTTGGGGTAATTTGAAAAAATATTCAATTTGGGGCAAGTTGAAAAATTTTTCAATTTGGGGTAACTTGAAAAAAAAAAATTTTGGGGTAACTTGAAAAAAAAATTTTTTGGGGTAACTTGAAAAAAAAATTTTTGACGGCCAGGTTGAGTCGGCTAACGGCTGACGGCCAGCTTGACTGTTTGACGGCTGACGGCTAGCTTGACTGTTTGACGGCTGACGTCCAGGTTGAGTCGGCTGCCGGCCAGATGGCACCTCATGCGATTCTCCCTCTCACTCTTCAAAGCAAAATATTTATTTGTTTACCTTTAAATTAATAATTAATGATGTTTCGTTCTTTAATGGTACTTTAAATTTTTAGAAGTTTTTCCATAATTTTAGAAACTATTTAAACTACAATCATGGCAGAAGAAATATCCAAAACAGGCCGGGGGACGGGAAATCTCTTTCAAGATTTACTTTCTTCTGTCGTCCTTGTGAAAAAGTGTGACAAGCATATAATTTCTAGTAATTCAATTAAACCTGACGTGAAATCTAAATTACAATCTTTACACTGCTTCATTTGTGGTGTCAAGCACCAGCATGGTCCATTATCTCAAATCAAAATTGAAATTTTACAAGAAATTATTTTAAGCGAAATGTTCGACAAGTTTTCCACGACTTCAACTTGTGCCGTGTGTTCGACAACGCTGGATAAACTGATCAATCTGAAAAAGGAAATTGAGGATATTTCTACCTGCATTCGGAGTGTGATTAAACTACGTCGAAACTTATCTGAAGTTGATGGTAAGCATTTGTATTGTATATAAAATCGGAAGTTTGAAGTTGCTCGAACGAAATCAATAACACTGAAACTTTGTAGGAAACCGATTAAGAACCAATTTGAGCAAGGATCCTGAAGAACATGACTCCATCATTGTTTCAAGAAGCGTAGATAACGTGACGTCCAATAATGATGTCGAAAAATGCGAAAGTGAGGAGTACGACTTTGTGGCAATAGATTGTCCTAACGCCTATTTGAACGAAGAATCATTAAGAAATGGCGATAACGTTGAGGATCTTGAAGTCAGACATGACGACGATACTGCGTCAAGAAATGATGGAAATTTCATGGACACGCCAGAATTAAAGCCAGTCCTTCCAATAGTTGATGATAACAGTGCACTCAATGATAACTTTAGTATAGATGAATGCGTGACGATAGGCGATCCTGTCGTAGGACTTGAGGATGAGGAGGAATCGATAAGAAGCGATAATACCGGTAACGACGATAAAGCTGGCCATCCTGAAGTCAAACTTGAAGATCCAATAAATCGCTCTGATAGAGATTGCATCGTGAACACGCTAGAATTACCCCTGACAGAAATTAATGACGAAGTTAAGCTCAGTGATAACGTTGACGTCGAAGAATTTGTGCAATGCAAAAATGAGTGCGACGATTTTGCGTCCACTAATAATCCTGTTCGAGATATCGTCCCTTGTGTGAAGGAACCGTCACGAGGACTACAAATAGCCAAAGTAAAAAACGAAGATGGCCAAGAAATCAAACTTTTCACAAACTTTGACGGCGTCTATGACGTTATCATCCCTGATGAGGCAATTATTGTTGAGTCGATGGAGCTCACCTTAGAAAGTCTGACCTGTCCCGAGTGCAATGTTTCATTTGACAAACCTTGGCAGCTTTACCGACACCAGAGGAACCCATGGTTGGACAGATCAGGAAAAGAAAATAGAAAGCGCAGGTAATTATCTTAATTGAGTAGCTAATTTAACATATGCATAGATATTAATGAAGTTTATAACTTACTTAACTGTCCATTAATTTTTAATTATTAATTATCTCAGCAATGAAACTGACCTACAGAATGATGCTAAGCGGCCAAGAGTTTCTAGAACTAGGGCGGAAGAACTGATTAAAAAGATGACAAGCCATGACAACCTTAATAGTTATGACAATCAGGACGATTCCGACTTTTATGACACATCGGACAGCAGTTCCAGTGATCAAGATTCGAGTAATGGAGAAGATAATAGGTCTTCCAAAAATTATTATCCAACATTATAATCATTCAGTTATCATTCATTTTAATTTATGCCCTGATGTATGATGAATTTAGTCCAGAATTAAGTATCGATGAGGATGACGCCGAGCTATACACGAAGTCCGAAGAATACAAGTGTCACAAGTGCAATATAACATTCGGTAGAAGGTACGACCTTGCTCGTCATCTTACAACCACTCTGGTACACGCTGAGGAAAACCTTCGTCACAAAGTAGGGTTGGCTGATAACCAGATAATCACACAGTCTGGAGAACATAAATGTCTCAAGTGCAATAAAACATATGTGAATAAGCACGATCTGATTCGTCACCTTATAACCTCTTGTGCACCCAAGCGATTAAAAGGATTTCGCCGTAGTTCTCGTGGGACATTGTAAATTCAACAATTTGATATAACATTTGTCTTGATAAGAACAACTGATAATTTCCCACATTTTTTCTTACTCCACAGCATTTTGAGTCCAACGGAAGATGAAATAGCTTCTTTGACCTGCACCGTTTGCGCCATCAAATTTGATGACCCGGCAACTTTAACCAAGCACAAATCCATGCATACGAATAAATGCGACATTTGTCGGCTAAAGTGTACGACAAGAAGAGGTCTGCGAAGACATTTGCAGACTCAGTCTCATGCCCTCGTGTTTAGGTATCAACTTGGAATATTGCAATAATAATATTGAATAATATTTGTAACTTTTAGGTTGAATTGACCCACTTGTTTGATAATCGGTATTTACTATTTAGAACGCTGGGCCCCACCGAGGAAGAACTCACCACTTTACAATGCACGATTTGTTCGAATAAATTTGACAACCTCCCAACCCTGATGAAACACAAAGTTTTACATTTACAAAAATGCGAAGTGTGTAATGTAACATATCCCAGCTTTCGAGATCACCTGCAGTCTAGGAAACATAAAATCGCAATTAGAACTAGAAGGTATGAAATACAATTTAGCTCGTGATCTTGATTAAATTTCCATCAACTTAATTGCTTAATTAAATGAAATTTAATCCTTTCCGGCAGAGTAAGTGATGACGGCGTCATTTCATTTTCCTGCGATAAATGTGATGATATCGAGTTTCCCAACTTGGCTAAAATATTAGAACACATAAAGAAAACTCATCAACGAATCAGTCAAAAGTTGTAAGCTACGTAGCCTTACAAATGCACTAAAATAATCTAAAATAAACTAAAATAAATAATAAAAATTGTGTTTCGCTAACAAATATTCATAGCTGCTGTATCTTTTTTAGATCTTTCGATCCAACGGAGGATGAAATATCATCATTGAAATGCTCCGTTTGTGCCAGAAAATTTAATGACGTGGCAACTTTAACCATACATAGAAACAAATATAAGGAAACATGTGAAATTTGTGATACCAAGTATTCAAAGACATTCAAGCTGCATAGCCAAACTCGGATTCATTCGGTCGCCCTAAGAACTCGAAAGTGAGTAAATGGTTGATCTGCCTTATTTAATTTGCATCAAACACTTACCTAAAATCAATGATATCCAATAATCTCTTAGATTTAATGACGATGACGTCGTTCTGTTTCGTTGCGATAAATGTGATGAGGCCGAGTTTCCTGATGCACTTGGAATATTTCAGCACGTGAAGCAAATGCATAAGTTGTAAGCTGAATTTACTCACTAAACTAACTTCTTAACGGAACAAAGTCTGCACCCATTTGGTCAAAATTTAGGTCTTTAGGTCCAATTGAGGAAGAAATTGCCACTTTGCGATGCACAATTTGCTGTGACAAATTCGATGACCTGATAACCCTCCTAAAACACAAAACTCTACATTTCGACAAATGTGAAATGTGCAACTATACCTGCCGTCGAATATATGAGCTTAAAGTTCATCTAAAGTCGAGGTTACATCAATCAGCACTTCGATGTAGACGGTAAGCAAATATATTGGACCCTTGCACTATGTAGTTGTCTCAACAAGTTTATGAGTAAGAATTAAATGATTCGACAAGCAGATCCGCCGACTATTTCAAAAGTACAAATACTCTATTGGATTATGTTCCCCACATGAAACGAATTAAAACTTAGCATTTTTTCGGGCGCCAAAATTTCCTTTGGGGGGGTTATGAGAATAATGGGAGATAAATGTGGTGCACATAGGGCACAGCATATCTATGAAATGGGTTGATGAAATTTCAAAAACAAAATTTTGTTACACTCTCTGGATCAGTACCCCGATAGGTTTTTCGAACTGAGGTGGAATTCCGACTTTGAGGGGTTTTTCACAGCGACGCAAAATTGACTCAGAAATTAATTTTTCGCTATAACGAAAAAGTATAACGAAATGTTCATACATTAGCTTTTCACCAATTTTTACTACATTGCAAATTATTAGTAGTAGAATAAAGGTTAAATTACCCAGAAAGTCGAAATCGACCTGCGTGACCTTTTTCGGGGATCGAAAGGTCACATAGCCACATAAATGGGGTATCGTTGGAAAGGTATTGGCGAGAGGATTCAGAATATGTATACTTTGTGGGGTCTGAAACCACTCCCTGCAAACATAGAGCCAAAAGAATATTTTTGAGTTTTTCCCATGCATGCTTCCGTGTTAGCTCCCAATCTACTGCTGTGTTAAATTCTGGACAACTGCCGATTTTCGTTCTTTGGCCTCTAGACTTGCAGGGAGTGGTTTCAGACCCCACAAAGTATATATATTCTGAATCCCCTCGCCAATACCTTTCCAACGATACCCCATTTATGGGGTAATGTGACCTTTGACATTGTGACCTTTCGATCCCCGAAAAAGGTCACGCATGTCGATTTCGACTTTCTTTGTAATTTAACCTTTATTCTACTACTAATAATTTGCAACGTAGTAAAAATTGGTGAAAAGCTAATGTATGAACATTTCGTCATACTTTTTCGTTATAGCGAAAAATTAATTTCTGAGTCAATTTTGCGTCGCTGTGAAAAGCCCCTCAAAGTCGGAATTCCACCTCAGTTCGAAAAACCTATGGGGGTACTGATCCAGAGAGTGTAACAAAATTTTGTTTTTGAAATTTCATCAACCCATTTCATAGATATGCTGTGCCCTATGTGCACCACATTTATCTCCCATTATTCTCATAACCCCCCAAAGGAAATTTTGGCGCCCGAAAAAATTGCTAAGTTTTAATTCGTTTCATGTGGGGAACATAATCCAATAGAGTATTTGTACTTTTGAAATAGTCGGCGGATCTGCTTGTCGAATCATTTAATTCTTACTCTTATATAATATAATTAAACAGGTACATTTACTCAATAATTTTAAACTTAGATTTGATCCCGAGAACAAAGTTAGTTTTGTTTGTGACCAATGCCCAGATGAGACACACTTCCCTGATCATCCGCAGCTTATAAATCACAAGAAAAAGTATCACCCTGAAAATATTTTCTGCAACTCAATCAAGCCGGTCAAGTCATGCGTCCCTTGCAACAAGAGTTTTAATACGAAGAAAGGTTACAAATCACATTTTCTGTCGGCTCTGCATGCCAAAAATGTTGAAGAGTCGGAAGAATTGGAAAAGAAAAAGTAACAAAAATTGTTTCTGAATCAGACTTAAGTAATTCAAAACATGTTTAGTTTTAACAACTCATTTTATAGGGTCTTCGCATGCACTCATTGTGACAGGAAATACGCCTCAAAATTCCTGCTCGAACGACATCTTAAAATTTATAACCGGACCTTGATCTGTGAAATATGTTCGCAGCGCTATCCTGGTTTGGTTGCTTTGAAGGCCCATCAAAAAACACATGGAGAGCCGAAAAAGACCCGTGTCAGGTAATCGGTCAAAATAAATATTTTCGTCACAAAAAAAAACTTGCGTATCACTCCATGTTTGCAGATTCATTCTACCAGAAGATAAACTTTATCCGTGCAAATTTTGTGACAAGCGGTTCACCACTTTATCGATACGCAGTCGGCACGTAGAATGTGCGCATAAAGAAATACGCCACAAGTGTGACCTGTGTCTACGAGAATTCAGGTCTCTAGCTGGATATAGGAGTCACCAGAAAAAAGTCCACAACTTGGAAAATAAAAATAAACGCTTGTATTCCAAGCAACCCGCACAGAAGGAGAAAGCTGTTCCCCAGAAATGCGACGTTTGCTCGAAAACTATGGTTAAAGGAAACATGGTACCCCACACTGAACTTGTCCACTTCCAAGATAAAAGCAAATGTCCTTATGGTTGCTCCGAGCTGGAATTTGAGACTGAACAGGACTGGATTCAACACTTGGAGGGATGTACTTCGGAAAAAATTGTGAGTTGACCAAGACTGTTTTTCATAAAAATAGAAAATTGGGTTGCTGAAAAAACTTGCCTATTTGTGATTTTCATCCTTTGCAGACTGAAGCTTCTCGGTGTTCCTGCTTCTTTTGTGGGGCCGTGTTTCGAAGCCAACTCCTCCGATTGTCCCACCACCTCCAAGCCCACAAAAACTTTAAATGTGAGATATGCTCCAAGGCATTCACACAACTAACAATATTGAACGTTCACAAATATTCGCATAAAGAATCCAAACCACATCTCTGCCCAAAGTGTGGAAAGCGATTTAAACAAGCTTGGAACCTCAAACTTCATTTAACATTGGTTTGCGGGGATGATGAAGAGGCGAGACAGAAAATGATCGAAAAAAGAAAAGCGCAGTATAAATCGTTCAGAGAAAAGAAGATGAATTTTAAGTGTGACGAGTGCTCTGAGGGATTCGTATCGGAGCGAAGGTTGGAACTGCATAAGAAGAAAATTCATGCCCACGACGATAAATCTGAGACAGAAGATAGCGACACGGATTAAACTGTCACGTTCGCCTTTAGGACAATTTAAAACGAAAAAAATCTGGCTCGTCGTCCTCCAATTCATTAAATCTGGAGTGAAAATCAGTCCCGAAATTTTATCACCGATTAATTTCAATCATTACCCCCTTTGAGCCTACCAGCCTTCTCATATTCACGCAATGTGCATACAACGATTTACATTGACTGGTTATACATAAATACATATATTTACCACCAGTTTTTCCAATAAATATGTACATATGCACAAATATTACTAGTGGATTTTAATTTAGAATACCAATTTTTAATATAAAAAAGACGAAATGTCAGACTACAGATAGATAAAATCCAACACATTGTTACATGAAACAATAAAATAACCATGTATTATTTGAAACTGTATTAACAAACAATCAAGACTTACTTTAATTCACGTATATATTTACCTACATAAATTTGTATAGCAAGATAATGGTAAATTTCCATTAACATTTATCCAGTGTAATTTGTACTAAATAACGCTAGATCACCAACAATAATGCATGCAAATATGTACTTATTTTTGCAGATACATATTCATAGGCCGGCATGTGGACATTTAATATATTTTTTGTTACAAAACCATCAATTTCGAACTGTACGACTCTATAATTATAATTAACCTTTAAATTTTCCATGTGCACCATTCGGTCACATTATTCAAAATATATTTACAACGATATTACCAAAGTGATCGTATAATACAACATCAACGAGATAAAATGCGTCCTTGAACTCTTGACGACGTAATAAAAATCCCCAATTGACACCTGAAGTGGGCGACAACTTTTAATCTGCCTCTTCCTGCAGCTCGAAAAAAATTGAAGTTTCCAAAATTTCAGGAACATTTCCGATTTGAGGGTCATATTTGATCCGAGAGGAAACAGGAAATGAGCCGCTCCGAATAAAATTATGATAACAACCATCGCCATGAGAGTTATCGTAAGTGGCACCCTAAAACTCAGCTTTATCCAAATGTAACCCACCACTGAGCACGTCACGAGCGAAATTAATAAAGAAATGGGCAGTATATACGTAGTTAATTGGTTGTAGGTCGTGTTTAAAATTTGAAGTTGTCGATATTTCAAAAAGTATTTTGGAAATCGTCCAATTCGCTCAAATTTGACGAACGCGGCACAACTTTGGGAAATGGTGGCGAAATCGATTAAATTCTGAGAAGGGTTTAAATCTGGCGTGGGATTTGAATTTATAACCGGCCCATGAAAAAGCTTTGGATTTGTCATCGATTTCAAACAAACGTGAATCGGGAGGGTGGCGTAAGTCAGGCAAATGACGAATGTAAAAACGAGTACACATCCGTGCAAGATGAACAGAAAGGTTGTCACGATTCTGAGAAATAATTTGGACAAGGGCGATAAGAAGGTGACGGGCAGAAAGACAAAATACATTGGGTCGATAGTGCTGAGTATTATCGGAATGGTGGACGCGCCCAAGGAAAACGCCAAGGGTGTGGGAACCATGGCATGGAGGAATATGCCTACGAGCAGTTGTGTCTGGTCGTGATCACTGGTGCGGTTATCTAATGAAAATTTCAAAATAAAATTTTCCACCAAATTTTTAAAGAGTTTTTTTTCGAAAAAGTTTATTACCATCCTCCTCCACCTGATCCTTTATCATTTGCACGTTGCTCATCAGGAAGCAAAATTCGTGAACTCTATCGAAAAAAGTTAAGACGCAAACCGTCGCCAGAAGTGAGAGGCAAATGTACCACACGCAAAGTAAAACTTGACGAGACGAAATGTCGGGATCTTTTCGAAAAACTACCAGTTCGTGGATTAGTATGAACATTAAGGCGACCGTGGTAATGGGGAGGAGCAGTGAGAGGATAACCCATGCGGTGAGGGAGACCGATTTTGGCGTTGGGCTAGGTTTCCAAGTTGTCCTGTTCCACGTGATGAATTGAGGGTAGAGAAATTCGGTAAAAATGGCGAATCGCTTAACGGCATGGGAAACAGTGAGGGATGGAAGGGAGACTGATTTAAGGGAGTTTTTGAAATTTTTGATACGTTTAAGAAATTTCATTCCCGATATTTTTGGGGAATTTGGCGAACATGTGAATTCTTGACGGTGTTGTTGTGGGGCTTGAAAGAATAAAGTATAAACATGTGTTTATATTCGTCCCTGAATTCGAAGTCTTATCAGACTTTTAATCTTTGCTTAATACCAATATTTAAATATTTCCTGGCAATTATCTATGTATGTACAATTATACTCATACGGGTTTCATTAAATTACTCGTGGTTTTCGTCAAGTCTTTTAATTTACATTGGCAGGATGCAATTTATAGAACTTGATGAATAAAAGTTGATGAAATACCGATAACGTTCACATTAAATTTCAAACTGTAAAAGTTAATGAAACCTTGCGAGTCACGGTATGCATATGAAAATAATATCATTTATTACAAATTCATGCAGCAATTCAACGTCAACGTATGCCTATGCATTTACCAGAATTCTTTCTAATCGATGAGACGTATAAATAGTTTCGGATGAGGATTTCAGAAATTCTTATGATAACCCCGTGACCAAGGTCTCTGCACTTGGGGGGCTGCTTTGGAGATGAATTCGATGCTACTATATAGGTTGTGTCAGTTTATTCGATTTTTTTTAATTAAAAAAATCCGGAGTTGGGGAATTCGCAAAATATATAGATATATATATAAAATATATATAGTGGTACGTATTAATATTTTATTTTATGACTGAACGTTGCATATGAAGTTTTACTTTCTTTTTCTCAGAAATAAAAAATAAAAAATAGCAATACTCACCAAAATTATAATATACCCAACTCATAACTTATTATTAGTCGACGCAATAATTTTACTATCAAAATGATATATCAATTATCATTAAATTACTATTTAACATTTTAATTTCTCGTTTTCATATGGCTCACCTAAGAAAAAGAACACAATCGGGGGAACCTGCTTTATGAGAAAGTTGAGTCGCGAGGGAATTTCTTCGCGAGGGAAAAAAACGTTGTGCTGCGTGCTCTTGCTTCTCCTCTCATTTATTCAGTTGCATCGCACATGAGCGGCCCAAATTCTCGATTTTAATTAATAGTTAATTAGTAACTTACAATTATTAACTGATTAAACTTTGTTTTAGTACTTACTTGAGCTGTCAAGAAGATGCAGAGTAACACTGGGAGGATACATACTCACGTTCAATGCCCGTATAATTTGTGTCACATTGAGCCGTAAGTAAAGTGGTGGTAGTTTCCTCGGTGAAATATTGTTATTCATTCTGTTTTTAATATTTTGTGTGTTTTTTTTAGAATTCCTGTATTCCCTGACCACCTGCTCAGGTGCAGGAGAGAGTATGAAAGGAAATGTGACCTGGAGGGGAAAGCAAAAACCTTGCGAGTCTGTAAGTTCAACGAAAACCACAAAGTGAACACTGTTGAAATTAAATTTCATGAAAAGTGGTGTGAAGATCGTTTCAATGCGGTGGAACCTGTACGTCAACGTGGTATGGATATCAATTTTATGTTTGTATGCGTATATTTCTTCTGGTATAAATTGTAAGGAAATTTTTACACACATAATTATCTAGGAAATGACCACCGACGGAAAGAACACCACTGGGATGGCAGAAACAGGCAGGACCGTGCTGATGAACAATCCCGATGGATACCATATCGCCTAATTCCAATCAGGCTGGAAAAACACGGTCCCATCCTGATTAAAGATTATGGCCATGGTATCCCCGTCAAGAATGCCAGCAGCAGGGGTCAAGGCGAGGCTGAAGATCCACGATTAATTTCTAAAGAAGCAAGGGTCAGGGATCAAAGTGGGATTAAAAAACTTCCGTATCGAGAATATACTGAGGTCGCTGAAAGTGCTCAAAGTCAATGCAAGTCTAGAGAAGATCAGAATCGAGATTATTCTGTGGTTACGGCTCAAAGAGAGGTTGATAAACTTCACCATCGAGATTATATTTTTGGGAGGGATCAAAGTCAGGGTAGAAAAGGTTCGTATCGGGAAAATTCTGCGCTTCAGGGTCAAGAGGACAGTAATTCCGGTTACCGTCAAGAGTATGGGATCAAGCGTAGAAGTGGTGGTGCAGGTCAGTATCCTCGCAGAGATATTAATAACAAATACGGTGGTCAGGGTATCGTTAAAAATTACGGAACTCACCCCCTTGCCTTCAACCATAACCAAGAGGAATTCAACGCGGTCTCGCCCAAGAAACCGAAACGTGCTAAGCCCATGGTGAATGAGGATCAGAAAAAGGAAAATATTTGGGGCGACGCTGCAGAAGATTGGGAGGCAGAAGCGAAGGCGTAAGTTTTATGTATAAATAAATGCAAGTATATTTTAGTGAAGAAAATCTTATTAAATAAACTTGAAAATAAACTTGAATTGTAATCCTAGAATTGAGGAAAAGGAAGTCGACCAACTGGAGGAGCTAGCTAAAGAACCTGAATTGATCCAGTATGAACCGTGGACACCACCACGCCCCGACTCGGAAGAGAAACAGTTTCAATACAAATCACGATTTTACGATTCTGGACAAGGGTCAGAGGGTGATGCAGATCTAGATCTTCCAGTGGAGATGGAGACGAGTTGTTATTCCAGAAATTTAGGACATGAAGAAGATTGGAACGATAACTGGGTCGAGTGTGCCCCTCGTTCTTCTCCGACGCAAGTCAATTATGAGGTGATGGTGTTCGAAAAAGTGGCTCCTCCAAGGCCCGAAGTCGAAGATTTGGAGAAGGAGGATGGAGAATGTAGTGAGGCTGAATTTGACGAATTCATTGGGGAAGATCCCTTCAGTGGTATTTAGGTATTTTTTTCATGATGACGACTTTAAGTTTTGACTGGACTTTATTAATTCAATTTAAACAAAATACTTAATTTTAGTTACATGTAGCGATCTTAGCTGTTGAAAAAATATTCTTTATTTCATGATGATGACTTTAGGTTTTGACTGGACTTTATTAGTTCAATTTAAAAAATACTTATTGTTAGTTTTAGTTGTATGTAGCGATCTTAGTTAGCTATTAAAAAAATATTTCTTTATTTCATGATGATGAGTCATCATTGATGACTTTAGATTTTAACTGGACTTTATTAGTTCAATTAAAAAAATACTTCTTGTTAGTTTTGGTTATATGTGGCGATCTTAGCTGTTTAAAAAATATTTCTTCAAAATTCATTCAATTTAAAAATTTGAAAATAATTGTTTACTCATTGTTAATTTATTCAAAATTTGAAAATAAATATTTATTCGTGATTCATTTTTGGTTTGCCATATTGACTTGAAATTTGGAACATAAATAGTTCATGCAAAAACGAAGGTTAAGTTCGAAGATGGGTACTGTAGGTCACACCTATCAAGGTCAAAAAGGTCATCAAACTAATTTGATACATATGTCAATTTGGTAGGAAATTTAACCCCGAATTCAATGGTAACCTCCATTTTGACCTCAAAGGTAACAGGAACGTCATCGATACATGGGCCACGACGTGTCAATTTTAACAGATTTTAGACTAACAAAAACAATATGATGATGTTCATTTTGACGTATGACACACTGGTTTCAATCCTTGGTTTGCAACGGTTTATTATTCACTATTTTTATAACGCTTGAAAATTAATTATTATTTTTTAAATATTTATTATTTAAAAATAAATAAGTATGAATAATTATTTATTATTTAACTATGCAGCCACCCCCACTTCCGGGGAATTTAAGATTTATGCAACGCAGTAACCCCACCAGGGGAATTAAGTAGTTGGTATGCAACACATTTAACTTAATGAAAGGCAGGGGCAAATCTTCCGCTGGAAACAAAGCGTTGCACCTCCATGAAATCCACTTCCGCAATATGTAAAAAAGACCCAATAACAACTGCAATATATTTTTTACATTTTGCTTTCAAAGGTATTGAATCCAAACACAAATACATAAGTAAGATCATTTTTGAGTAACACGTTTGGATTTATTTATTTAAAAGCATTAAAAAATTTTGAAACAATCGTAATGTATTTAGTTTGTACATAAGTCCAGATACAATTAAACGTGAAGAGAAGTACAATTTAAATTTGTCAAGAATCCTTAATTTAATTAATTAAAGTACGGAATTCAATTGGTTAAGCGCTGGAAAATTAAAGGGAGGATAATCCCCGTGATAAATACGATCGCATGACCCGGTTGCAGCTCCAAGGCTCCATTTTGCTCAGCCTGCATTCTTTCACAGGAACCATCAAATACTACCTTCACACCTTTATGCAAAAGTCGCAAGTTAATTACGGCATTTTAATTAATTAATTGCTTAATTAATATCAAATAACAACCTACCTGGCTCAGAAAGGCAATGCATAAAGCACATATTTTGATACGATTTCCCATCCGATCCGCACACCCAGGTGTACGAATCCAAACAACCACAACCCCCCTCAGTGGGGGCCACTGTGTAGGCAAGCACTACCACCAAGGCCAACAGGATGACGTGATGCGACCCGTAGTTCATTTTATTTTATGTGGAATTTGATCGATTTAATTCAATTGGCACAGTTACTTCGGCCGAGTTTGCATGCAAACTAAACTGGGAAGACCGAGTTAAAGTGTGAATAAATTCGCCTCTTGGTGAGATCACTTAAGATTAGTAAAATCTAGTGATTGATATAAATAGACGGGAAAGCAGATGCCACTGGGAGTAAATGGTGTTCATATGTATTTATGCATGTATGTATTGCGTATAAAGGTCACACGTGTATGCATACAAGTAAATGTGTGAGTATTTAGAATGCTTTAACGCCTTTAACTGACTTTAATTGATTTTTACTCAATTTTCAACTTGATCTATTTACATTAGGTGATGAGTTCAGCATGTAATTAAATATCTCGAGCAAACCAAGTTATGATTGACCTTGGCACCCTAAAATGTATGTATGTACTTGCAAAGACTTTGCATTTACAAGATGATGGGTATCTACTATGCAAGAAAGGAAAATACATTTGTGCATATGTATATAGTAATTCAGATTTACAGATGTAAAAATATGAATGCTAGATGCACATTAAATTATCATTTGATGTTAAATTAGTGAAGAACTAACGTATGCATGCACGCTTAATATTTATGTAAATATGTATTTATACATGACTGAATTATTTATTTTAAGAGTTTCTTGGAAATATATTAAAAGTATTTTGCATTAATTAAAAAACTTAATATGCATAATTAACAACTCATGCATACATATGTACATGTGTCTATAATTTCATTTGATAATGTAAAATAATAATAATGCTTGCTCTGTGAACACAATTTATATGTACTCCAATGAATAAAAACATACGGTAATTTAAGAAAAAATTAAATTACTAAATGTGTAAAAAAAATAGTTTTTACTGGGCTGGTCAAAGGCGTCGGATTCCATAATTGTTCATGTAACGAGGTCGATATTTATATGGGTTAAAATAGCGTTGACTACCAAATTGACCGTAATCTCCGCCATCACCATAACCAGGATAAGCTGGATTATAATCGTAGTGTCCACGCTGTGGGGCAGGATTGGCGTGGCGTGGGACTCGAAGAACGATTCCTTAATCAGGAAAGAAACAAATGTACTAAATTTGACACCATGTTTTCTATTTTAGATTTTGGGTAATGCATGTAAAAAGCATGTAATATATTTTTTTTAGGTTTTGGCCAAATAATAAATTGATAAAGCTGCTGATATCCTATTTAACATCCCAAAAATATATCGCATGCTTTGTTTGTATGCAATTATTACGTCGTCTCACCCCTTTACTTACCTGTTTGTAAGAAATTGTTCACGTCGTCGTTGGAATACGCAAGAGATGGACAGGACGCAACTACTAGAATTATACCCACCAAGGATGCAACCTGAGTCAGAATCATTGTTAAATCGTGTAAAATTGTTAACTTATTTTATCAAAAATGGCAGCAATAATTATGAAACTGTTTATTGAGTGAATATGTATTTAACTGTGGGATGATGAATTCTAATTAACTGTTACTCTTCAACTGGACTGAAAATCTTTATTTTGCGTGAGACTGGACAGATACGTGATGATGACCATGGAACGGCAATTATGTGCTTATTAAGTTATACATACGCCTTGTAACAAAATATAATTAGCAAACTTGTGCACCTTAGTGCAAGAATAAAATGAAATGTTCACGGTATGCTGATCATTTACCAGTTTTGTACGTACTTTTCTGTATACGTAAATCTGTGAAGGTCAAGAATTCATGTATGTATGTACATACATACGTCACAAATTTGCTCGCGCATATCTTGCGAATGAGAATCAGGAAATGCAATTGCATTATAATCCAGTATTATTAGGCTGCTTAGGTTTTGCTTCTCGTAATTTAAATATTTCCACGAATTTCGAGGATATGAAATGAGATGTGTTAAAAGAAAGCTAGGGCTTCAAAGAAAATGTAAAGCATGATTTTCGAATCTTCGCACACTACGCTTCGAGTAAGTTTTATTGACTAAATTACCATTTTTAAAGTTGGTAAGGATGGATTATCGTTAATGGATTATTTAATATTTTTAACTTTTTATGGGAGCACTGTCCAGTAATCATACAAACTACAGAGTATGTATTGCGTTGAATATAATCTGATTACTTAATCCGATAAGAGTAATCCCATCCCTGTAAATGTGGTATTGGAATGTAACGCTTACTGACGCCCAATTTATTACTTTAGACTTTTTGATTTCTTTGCGACAACTTTCGGAGCGTCCCGCATATCGATACTCGGTATCATCAAAATTTCAAAAAAGTTAAGTTTTATATTAGAAAATAAAGAAATATAATGAGCCTACTCACGTCAACCTTCGCATATCTCGCAAATTGAGCATAGTAACATAACTTGCGAGGTTTTGCGAGATATTTCAAAAATTTTGCTGGAAAACCATGGGATTTTTTCGCAAATTTACCCAGCAAGTGGGCATGTTCTTATTTCGCAAAATTATTTCGCAAACTCATCCTCACCATCTCCATTAGGAGAAATTATAGAAATCTATGGAAACAACATCGAAATAGGTGTTTTCAGTAGATTTGCGAGATTGGAGAGATTTGCGAATCCCCTCACGACAGAAATATTTTGATCTTCGCAAGTTTGCTAAATGAGTTGCGATGTGAAATAAGACGTTGTCGTGAGTACGCCCAATGTTGCAAGAATTTTTCAAAATCAGAGCAAAGTTGGATTTTTAGCGAACATTTGAGCAACTGGAAACAGATCTTTTCCCGTGTTTTTTGCCCCTTTTAGTGAGTGTGGTAGGCGTAAATGTGGCCATGGAGTCAAACTACACCAGGATTTTAGTATGCTTATCGGATACTACAGTATATCTAAAGGGCATCAAAATCTGTTATCGGCAAGTGCGGAAGTTCCCTTATTTATTTAATTGTGCACTACACAATGAAGGTGTATATTCGTGAGCCGTTTCGAATGTGAGGGACGAGGTGACCGAGTGGTTAAGGTGTTGGACTGCTAATCCAATGTGCTCTGCACGCGTGGGTTCGAATCCCATCCTCGTCGATTAATTTTTTTGCATTATTTGTTTTTGCAATTTTTTTTTGCATGTATCTAATTAAATTTTATTAGATTTTTTATCTTACATTTTCCTAGTATCATGAAAAACTATCATAGATATGTAAGTGTAAACGTCTCAATTAGCCCCGTTAATTCCCACCTGCCGATGTCTTAAACGATTAATAAATAAAAATACGGATGGATTTCGCTTTTTAATTTAAATCCTTCAAAATACCTATTTATTATTAAAACAGTGTGGTCACGTAATTTATGAATGTTTTCTAATGATAAGCCCGAATGCGAATGAGAATAAAATCTCATCTCGTTCGATGAGATCGCACGAGAACTGGGTTTTAGTCTCATTTTTCCCACTATTCGTAACCAATCTACAGCAGTTCAGTCTTCTCACTTGTCGTGAAAGAAAACAAGACACAAGACGAGTCTTGTTTTCAACATTTTTTGACAAGTCGCTTCTACCCAAAGCGACTTATCGAAAAGAACGAACTTTATGAGATTGTAGCAAATTTATTTACATCGCAATTTCTGAATTCACAGGAAATAATTCGCACATAAGGTAAGGCTGGACTAAACTTGAGGTATGAAAATATTTATTTATGAAGGAGATTCGCATTTCCATGATAATTTTGATTTTCTTCATTCCATGCCGATTCTACAATGTGTTTCCTTATTTGTCCTTGTCCCGTATATTGCAGGTCACATTGGACCTCAAGATGGCAACATCAAGCCAATCCTGCTCTAGGCAATCCGGAGTTAAATGTCCATCTTGTGAAGAGGTAAGTTTATGGTGAAGTAATTACAATTAATTCGTTATGTGTCACATACAAAGAATTTACACATTTTCCAGGAGGTAGCTACGGAGGAAGTTCACGAATTAGTGTGGAGTATTAGCAGGAACGAGATCCTCTACGCCGAAGAGCCTTCTGATCAGCAAACGGCCTACTTATCCTTCACAATTGGACAAACTATGGATGCGATCTCAAGGTGGAAGTTTTTTATACTCATGGACGACGAGACGGATGCTATTGACCTTTTCTTCAGACTGGAGGAGTACCCAGGTTTTGAAGGGCTGGTCGGGGTGGAGGTATCATTGGATAAGTTGTCGAGATCGCCGGAAAAGTGGGAGTTTAGTAAGTTGATGTTTTTCTAAGGCGAGACCCAAACGTAACCATGCACCCAAAAAAATACGTGCATGGTTACGGCGAAGCCATAGTATGCAGTTAAGTGGACACCTCAAAACAGTCCAACAAGATTGTGAGAGAACCATACGCCGTAGAGACATGCGGTTTCGACTGATGGGTAGTAAATTCTTTGTAGTATTGCGCGTATATCTCTGGCTTGATCGGTTCACACTTTCATGGCGTATTTCTCGTTTTAGTGACTTTTTTTCTGTATCTCAAAATATTCCGCTGAAAGTGAAAAATCGGCAAAGGAAAATCGAAAGAGCTTAAAAAATTATTAAGATCATTCTTTGGGGTCATGAAAATCGGATGCAAAATGACGAAGTTATGGAGGTTTGAAATTTTTTATATTCAGTTACATCCATAGCAACTTTAGTAAAGAAATTCTTTATATGTATGTGTAAATGATGGCCCGAGCCAGGGCTTATATAATCGTCACGTCCGTCTGTCTGTAAATTTGTAATGGCTCGTAATGGGATAATATGAATTAAGTAAAATCGGTCATCTGGGGGGACCCGAAAGGATTTATTTTAATCGTCGTATATATTGAACCGCAATTTGTTACATATGCTGTCAATTGCTACTAATGTAAGAATGTGAATTTAAATTAGAACCATTAGTTTTTATTTAAAAAAATATTGATATGCATTTATGAAAAAATTTTGTGCAAAACTTCGGATTGGGTGATAATTGCAACCTTTTCTTGACTCGGGCACTGCCTGATCAAGTCTGCACTGTGGGTTTTTAATGACGGAGTTAAAAAATTGTTCACTTAAAAACGACGAAATAAATGAATGTAAAAAAATAAAACTAAGGCGAGAGGCGCCATTAGAAACAAGCCCACCAACACCCCCGTCTCGCCGTGGCCCCATTAATATTTTTATATCTGGGGGGTGGTACCATAATTTATGATTCAAACCTTTAACTACTAATGTAAACTGCATTTAAAATTGATATATAGTACAATCTTATATTGCACTGCACTTTTAAAACCTATTACCTGTAGTTCTTACATTAATTTCAATTTAAACATGCAGTTTAGCATTAATCAACAGAGTCCGGATAAATATATTCTTATAAACCCCGAAACATTTATCTAAAATGTTTAATAAAAGCGACAAATATGTATAAAAACATTTTTTTAATTAAAGATTTTTGATTAAAGAAAATGTATACAACAGAACCAAGATACTAAAGTTTCAAGTCAATCGGTATTGTTGTTGAAAAAGTTTGGAAAAAATGAAATATTTACTTCTTAAACCCGACTTTTAACGTAGGCAATCATGTGATTAAATACATTCCAAATTTCCATTCAGAAATTTCAGAATTGAGCTAGCTGCTCTGGTAAACGAGTTAAATAAATAAGCTTTGTAGTCTGATTTTCGACATTTGTGTGACAATTTTTTGACACTTTCATGAAAATGACATGCACCCATGCTGGCATATATATCACATTATTGGTTTTTTAAATTGTGTATAATGCAGGAAAGAATTTCAAAAAATAAAATTGTGGTTACACCCCCCAGATATAAAAATATTAATGGGGCCACGGCGAGACGGGTGTTGGTTGGTGGGCTTGTTTCTTGTTTCTAATGGCGCCTCTCGCCTTAGTTTTATTTTTTTACATTCATTTATATTTGCGTTCATTTGAGGCAATCCGCATCGTAAAGATTACCAAGAGAAATCAGCTTACAATATTTTTATAATAGTTCAGTTTATGATTAAGTTATGTAAATTAAATTCCAAAATTTCGCAAATTTGGCCTGTTGCAAACATCCGGATTTGCTCCGTGCATTCTGTTGCATCTAGGACGTATTTCTTAGTTTAGTTTTCACAAGAAGAGTTGCAAAAAATTTTAAATAGTGTATATTTAGAGATTTTTGAAAATTTTTATAATTGTACTAATTAACTCTTTGTTTTTACAGAGTTGGCTCGTCACACTTTCACCTCAGCAGATGTCAAGAACGCTGCCCCGACCAAGTGTGTCTTCTACGAGTACAGATTATCGGAATATTCTACGTGGGTAAAGAAGGGCACTAAATCTTACACCCTGAACAAGATTGCTGAGAAGAGTGGTGACGAAGATCTTATGCAAGTTCGCATCCGATTCAAACTATTCGACACCAAAGGGATTGCGAACCTCAGAAAGCAATCTGATCTCCTCGTCATGCCAGAGCGCGTCGCGTGGGGCGAAATCCACAAGAAGGGAATGTTCGCCATGCTGCAGGAAGGGGCTGCTTCTACGATCACCCTAAGGGCGAAAAATGGGAAAGAATTCGTGGTCAACAAGGCCATCCTCGCAGCTCATAGCCCTGTATTTGCCGCCATGTTTTCCACGGACATGAAGGAGAAGAAGGATGGCGTCGTCGCCATTGACGACATCGGGGAGGGTGGATTAAAGATGTTTCTCTTGTATTTGTTCACTGGCGAAGTCGATAATAATTGGGGCGATCATTACGATGAAGTAATCAATGCCGCCGACAAGGTGACCGTGCATTACATAAATTCAATCTAGAATAATATGTATTTATTTGCCTGATTTAATTTTCAGTACGGAGTAACATTACTGAAGGAAACTTGTGACAAGTTGCTTCCGAGGTTGGTGACATGGGAAAATTGCGTCGAGTTATTGCACGTTGCCCGATTGTATACCTTGTCGACAGCGATTGAGAGGATTGAAAAGTTTATGAGAAGGTGATTTACATAATTAGTAATTATTAATTACATTCTTTGCTAATCATTTTATGGGTTGTGACTCTAATGTTTTGTTTTAGTGATCCGAAGAAATTAGTTGAGATAGCAATGGGGTCAGAGGCTGGGAAGATGAGTCGAAGCAATTTCTAAATTGATTATTATTTTATATAAGTAGTACTTCTCTTATGATTTATGATCCGGCATAATACTGTACATTTCTGGCTGTCTGTACTAACTAAATAGGTAGTTAATTTCGAATATTTTTACAAATTACGGCTAAGCTAAAGCGTATGTATGAATGATCTGTTACTAATATTTTTCCCATTTATTATTATTTATTAGAACTTAATTATGATGTTAGCGTTATTTTATTATCATTTGTCATATTAAATTATATATAATTTATCATATTTAATTATACTGTTGACATTTGTGGTATTAACAGGATAACACGAAACACTTCTCCCCATAAGAAATTCCCAACTTTACCGAGCCAAGAAAAGAGAAAGCTTTCTTTGTTCTTCTTCTTTGTGTCTTGTTCCAGCAGCTGCCTCCTTCATTCTTCATTCCACCTTCTCGTAGTTTGTGCTGTGTATAATGAGCCAGTAAATTAATATAAAATCCTAATAAATTCGTTTTTTGATAAATAATTTCTTAGTTAATCTGTAAATCATCGAATTCTTCATACTTATACTTACAATTTGTAAGTTACAAAGATTAAAAACAACAAAACAAGTGGATCAAAGATCAGTTAAAGTTTAAAAGTACGTACTTTTCTATTTCGTACATAAAATAATGAAATAGTTGTACTTTAATTTCCAATTAAATCAAATTCAATTGGTTCCAACCTAAACTTACGTTAAGTTTAATGCTAAAAGTAAATTGATGCTAATAATTAAATTCTTTTTGACCAACTATTCTAATATTTCAGGGTTGACTACTAACTAACTTGCAACATGGCAACCGCAGCACCGCCCCCCGAGCCAGTCAACGTCGTGGAACTCGAACTCGGCGAAGACTTGGACCTTGTTAACTACGCTCTCCGCGCCATCGGCGTCGTTCAGGCCGTCCAACATATGCCCAGTGTTCGACAGGTTGAGGAAAACTTGCCCGTTTTCCAGTCCAAGAAAGATATTCTTGTCGATATTGAAGCCTGCGGAAGTAGAAGTACAAAACCATCCACATTGTCAAAGAAGATATTCTCGTAAGATAATTTGTTACATATTTTAGCTGAGATTTTGTATATTTCTAATTGCAATTTTTAAACTCTCTCAGGCCCTTTAAAGCTACTAGACTCATTACGGACGACATATTTCCTCGTGATTCTGAGAAAGATCCCCTCGTCCCGTTTACGCCTCCTGATGAAATTGAAGCGCATGGAGTCAATAGCGTGTTTGAGATAAGGAATATTTACGCATTCATGGAGGCGTGGCAAATACGTCATCATATCTCAGAACCAGACGAAAAGGAATTTCCCCTTGCAGCAATGAGTGCCAAGAAGAAGGTGAATATTTACTGGGCCCTGACCTTACTGGGCAAAACGAATGCAATTGTGTTTGGAATTTTGGGCACAATTCCTACCTTGGCGAAACTGGGAGTAAAAAACTGGGTACTTCCCACAGGAGATAAGGTAACATATGGTAGTTATTAATTGATTGATACATATATTTATTATTCGACCTTGTATCATGTGACAGGTCCCTTTGGCATCTCTGCGAGCCGCAATGCTAGAAACGCTACCGTCCCTGATTTACACAGCCAATATGCTGGCTAACGTCGAAGCCGATGGTCCAGCAACTTGGCCGGGTGCGCAGCCATATGACCTTGAAGACCCCGATTTTCGCGGCCTTCACAAGAGGAAAGTTACCGCAAGGCTGGTACGCCAGGATCTCTTGGTGATTCGACATCCCGTCCTATTCGTCCAACTACCGAATGGAACTCATTACATTGTCGATCCCACCGGTAGGCTCTTTGGGTACGTTGGGGTCCATAGGAGTCTCATCGTCCATGGGAGTGAAGCCGCGTACAAGGCCAATTTCCCTGGGACCGTGATCGAGGTTAGTTTTTGCCAATTATCGTTATATGTAGAGTTATATATAACAAATAAATATTAAATTTTGATATTGATTTATTATTTTGCTAGGATGGGTTGGCGCCGCTCACCTTTCAGGATTACGAAGAAGGTCGGGATGCTCGTTACATCCCTGTTTTAAACCGACTGCTTGAGAAACATTTGAGGAAACGTATCTGCTGTTATTGCGGCCAGCTTGATGGCGTCCATCCATCGAATGAAACTGCACGGCTTCGCCCAATCGGCACGGACGGAAGGCTTCTCTTCGACCAAGAGCCTTGCATTTTGTGGACCTGCCAGCTGTGCGGAGTGGCACTGTATTGTAGCAGGTTTTGTCAAAAGTTTGACTGGAAGAGGCACAAGGAGGAGTGTAAAAAATTGGAATAGATTAATTTGATGGAATCTTTGATACACTGGAAGGATTGTGATTATTGAAATGGAAGTAATTCTTGAGTATGATTTTTTTTCTAAGCTTATTTATACCCCTATATTTTGGGAGATTATTTGTAATGTAATTGTGGCCTTGATTGTGATAAGGATATAAAATAATTCATTGTGTAAATTCAGTATATTTTTTGGTATTAATAAAATTGGCATGCTAAATGCATTATTTTTTCATGGAAATTTTTCATTCACCTTTTTATTTATCCAAAGCATAAATTTTATATATGTAACTGGTGACAATATGGGTGACAAATTTTGTGCAGTCCAAATGTTAAATACTTATTAAATTTGCGACTTATTCCATGCAAAATCGGATCATTTAATAAAACTTTTTATGCCGCAGATTTTATGACAGGTCAGAATATTGTACATAATAATCAAAACATTGTATGCAAATTGCAAATCAACCGATTCAACAAATTACCAACTTCTCGCTTTTGGAAGATCACTCGGATAGTTGACCGTTCTTCTAAATTCCTCCACGCTACAGCAATACGTGTACCCGAAGTCAACCTTTTCCCGTTCTACTTGCACCAACGTGGTCAGCCAAGGGACACGGTGGCAGATATCTTCGCACGGAATTCCATTTTGAAACAGCTCTTCATGCGTGGCGTGAGGATTGTTGACCTGCACAAGGACCACGCCATACTTGGAAACCATGTCGTACACAGCTTTCCAAAAGAATCTAGACATTCAATATAGTTTAGATATTTATGCATTAAAGACATGTAACATATTTTTTGGTATTTACACATAAAGATATTAAATTAGCAGATAATCTCAATTGCATGCAAATTTTGTATACAAAAAATGTGGCATTAGGCATTATGTTTTTAAATTTTAATTTTAATTAATGTCACCTGGGAACCGGGACGGCATTATTGCCCAAATACATATCAATCTGAACTCCTTGGTCGTTCGGCAAAGTAAGCAGGCCATAAGTGCCAGTCCAAACTTTCACCAAGGTGTTTCCACCTTGAGCATAGCTTCGAATGTCTTCTTCGAGTTTCTATCGAAAAAATGTGCATACTCTAATCATTAGAATGCTGTATGGAAAATTTTTAAACGGATAATACGCACATTCCAATTCCCTGAGTTCAAGAGACCCCATTGAGGCGCAGTATTGATGTAAAACATTGTAGACGCCTGACCATTTATAGTGTTCGCGTCGCTCCTCCGAAATAAGTGACCTCTACTAAACCAATATTTATCTTCTGGGAATAATCTCGCAGTGCTTGCTGGACCCAGCTGTAAACAAGATGTAGTAGGTTTGGTTTTGGCGACATACATAAATAACGTTATCAGCAACTAGGGGACATTCATATGGAGGAGGGGTCTAGAGAATCGCGATTTTTGCGTTACAAAATTTATGAACGTCCCCTTAAACAATTTGATTATGATTTGGTGATATAATTTTGACGACTGACGAACGTACCATCGTCGGTCGGGAAAACTTGAACTTTTGCGTTTTGCGGTCGTACAAATAGTCCCATCCTGTGTTAAAAAGCCGCTTCGCTTCTTCCCAAGGGGGCCTGGCTGGATGCACTAGAGTCGCCTGAGTTCCCAGGATGTGTCCCGTAGTATATAGCGTCTGCTTGGTCGTATCGTCAAAGCAGACAGAATATGTGGGACGGTCTTCAAACTAAGAATTAAAATTGTTGGAAATCCATGTAATTGGTCGATATATCTATGTACACGAAAGTTGCGAATATGATCTCACCGACATATCATTGGGGGCGCAATTTGCTTTCCTAGATTTTCAGGATTATGAGATGAAAATATAACATTTAACACGCAAATTATTTTTAATTAACGGAATTAATTACTAACTTTGGATAGACGTAAATGTAATACGAGTCTCCCTCACAGTTATATTTTATCTCTACTTTTCCTCTAGGCCCTTGCCAAATTCGGTTGACTGGGAGAGCGGTGAGAATATTGTTGGTCGAAATTCCTTGTGTTTTTTTAAAATTATAATGTTTAAATTATCTTAATTTTCCTAGAGCATGCCATGCTTTGTGTTTTTAAATATGTGCATACCATGCTCAGTTTTATTCCAAAGTGGGATATCTCCGGAGGGCTTGTGGTTGCTGAGAAGTCAAATGTGAACAAAATAATTTAATTATTTTTTATATATATAATTTAACCCAAATAATGTTACCTCGATGAAGGCGAGTTTTTAAATTGGTATGCAAAATGGAACAAAATAACGAGTACGAAGAGAACACAGAATGCCTTGACTTTGTAAAGTCCCATATTTTCAGATAAATAGTTTCTAAATTCATACGGACTTCTCTTGTCAGTGATTGGGAAGAGAATGACGAAAATTTTTATTTACATTTATGAGACGATCAATAACAATAATTAATTGATTTGTTAAAGACGAAATAAAACAAGGCAAGTATTTAAAATGCGGAGATAAATAATTGCAAATTTGCAACTTATCCACTTCCTTAATTCATGTCTGATTGATTAGTACCAGCGACTAGCGAGTCAATGAATCGTTTTGTTGGTCAATCAGGGGATTGAACTTTAATTGGTACATAATACACAGAATACTTTATTTTCGCTGACCCTAGCGTAGAGATGGGCAATAACTATGTACTATTCTTCACTTAATAAATAACTTATTCATTATTCAGCCAATTCAGGACAGGTTGGAATGCTTTGACAAAGTTGTGTTTTTGTTATCATGCACAAAATTGCAATTTCTGCAAAACACCGATCTTTGGGCTTGTCTCCTCAAGCATATTCGTACAAATGATTTGTAAGTAATTTTAGGCCAGTGATTTTTAGATGGCTCGAATACAGAAGACAGACTTTATTTTGTATGATCCAGTTGCAAATGCACACATGTTAAATACAATTGTGCATAAGTATTGTTTAATTAAAATGAATGAGGTTTGGATTATGTGCTTCTGAAGAGTTAAATGGATTCTTGCTCTCCGAATACATGGCCCAAGCTGAGAAATATTTTAAAAAAATTGAAGTTCTGGGGCAAAAACCAATCCCACGAGTAGTTTACATTTCGTCCGATAATACATCTGTGATTAATGAAGCAAGATCTTTGTAAGTTTAAATTAATGATGATAGAGACTTTAGAGGTTTATAAGGCTTGATTCTTCAGATATCCCACCTGGAAAGTGCTTGGATTTCACTCCTCCCTCTCAGAGTCATTTAGCAAAAGGAAGTTTGGCCTTTCCGAAATTGCCAGAGACATTTTACTCCTTACTGAATGTGAATACGTTGTATGTGGCTTATCTTCAAATGTAAATAACCCATGAAAAATTTGGTAGCATATTAATTTTCAAAAAATAAAAAAATATCTTTGCGCCTTCTTATACAGCTTTGCCGACTAATATTCGAGACGCAAACGTACAAAAAATTCAATCAGGATCCACCCCACCTCATGTCGTTGGACGGACAATATGAATACGCACTACATGGCCATCGCATACCTCGAGATTTTAGGACTCTTGGGAAAATTGGCGACCATGAAACAGCTTTATTTTGTGGTTTCCCTTAGTACTACATATAGAATTATGGTCATAGGTATACACTACCATTGTAAATTGAAGTTAAGGAAATACAAATTGTACAAAACATATAACAGATTAAGTACTTATGATTAATTATTAATAGTGTACAAACCTACTAAAAAACTCATTTACTCGCTTAAGCTCCTTGTAGTTTTATACATTGGCGCATAGTTCCTCTGACTGAAAGGTAAAACATAATTTGCAATTTTTAGATATATTTAGCGTTTTAATGGGACCATAGTCTATATCTAAATATAGATTGCGTGTCTTCCTCTGGATTACATTGTGAAGTTCACAATGTGAACATTACATAGATACATTCATAATGAATGATTCATTCAACGTTAAGATTGTCATAAATTTGCAAATGCTACATATATTGCAAAAAATATCACATGTGATATTTGCATGGTATTCGCATGCATGTGCTAAACTCATGTAAGTAATACGAGTAATTTATGTACATATGTATGTACATACTTATGTACTTACGCGTATACGCATGCGGTCCTGTATACCTACATATGTACGCTTAACTGATTTGTTGTTGCAAATAAATTTAACGGTTTTAGCAAGATTTGTTAGTTTAGTAAAATTCCCCAAGTTTCACAGTTACGATTGCTTAAAAAATTTTATGAGGAAATATTTGGATATTCCAGGATAATGGTGACATACCCACGACTCATCGGTACACACTGATATGTATTTGCATACACTATACTGACACTTGTAATTAGTATGAATCCGTACAAAATTAGACTAAAATTGTTACAATTAAGTACACTTTGTTGACAATTTAAATCATTTTTGAAACTTCTATGTAACTGATCAAGTATGTCGTTGCTTGCGATATTTACACGGGCTGTTTTATTTTTAACTCTCGGTGCTGGTCTTCAACTTGCATTTAGTAAGTCAAAAATCTTACTTAAAACTATAATCTTCCATTTATATTAATTGTTTGAAATGTATATGATAAACGAGGTTCTCCTCTGGAGAAACCTTGCACCCTTATTTATAATGGGCGTACAATTCGGATCGAATTGTTGGATAGGTCGGATCCAGTGCCTGGTTTTATTAGCCGTGATGAAAACGTGGCAATTATTCTCAAAGGGAAAAAGATCAGGGTGGAGTGCGTCGAGGACGACTACGTTTTCCAAGAGCTTAACGTTGGAATACTGGAACTAGGCTGTTTTTCTGGAAAATTAAAAAATTCGGTAATTTTTTAACAGTAAAAATACTTATTAATTTAATTATTAAAACACTATAGTATTTGGATATATGTTTATCTAGGATCACATTATTACTGCAAATCTTGATGCTGTAAGTCTCGACTGCGTTCATTCTAGCAGGGCCCCATTTGGCGAATTGACTCGCAATGGGACCTGTGTCACTGGAGCCACAAACATTGATGTACACGTCACTTCACACTCTGGGTATCCATATTTTTAGCCAATTTAAGTAAATTTAAATAAGCGTACGCACGAAAACCATCGCATATTTAAATATCTACTAACTTGCAAGTCTGTCAAGTTGAGAATATATGTAACACACATAAATTGTGGAATTATTTCGCTGAAACTTTACGAGTGACACTATGAGCTTTTTGTTTGCAAAGTTACTCAGCAAATGGACATTTGCGTATTTCGCAAGATTGCTACGCAAGCTATTTATTTGTTAAATATGTTGCGAGATGTGTAAAATAAGCACATGAGTAATTTTGGAAATCCTCCCACCAAGAAAAGAGTTTAATGGAATTTATTATATTCAAATCTGCCATGCATTTTAATATCATTATTAGCAAATAATTGAGAAATACACTGTTTTTTCAATGTTAAAAAAATGTTTTCTCATGAATAAGCCTAATATTTAAGCAAATTTCAGAGGAATTATTTTAAAAAAACAGCGAATCTCGTCACCTTTACTCGGTCTGTTTTGACGAGATCACGTCCACCACGTTGTACTCGAAAAGTAGCATCGATGGAAAATTGCTCGCTTCAGCGGGGTCGGAAACCCGGTTATTTCCAAGATCAAGGATTTTTTCCATTCGACTTGAAAAAAGCTTACACACGGAAACAACAGAAGATTACGTTGACAAATTTGGTAAATAATAAAAGTGGTAACAAAAGTAAAGTCGCCACGTTTTGTAGTGAGAACTTTATTCTAATTGGATAACAAATCGTTACTAATTGCAATTTTGTTACCACAACAATTACATACATATTAGTTGGAATTTGGCCTTGATTTCTGTACATTACTGGTTAAAGCTGGGAGCAAAAAAGTTTGCGGAATATGTGTCAAAACATGGAGAAAGCTATTTTCTTCAGAGGGGCCACCTTTACCCAAATGCTGATACGTTTTACAAATACGAAAGTTGGGGAACTTATTTCTTCATAAATGCCGTGCCGCAATGGGGGATTTTAAACTTGGGGAACTGGGAGGTTGTCACCTCATAACTTACGAGATAATAATTAATTACATTGGGGGGAACCGCATTGAACTCATTTTGCAATATTTCAGGCGGTGGAGATATCATTTCGCAAAATGGCAACCAAATTAGCATCTCACGTCACGATTTACACGGGAACACATAAAGTTCTCACATTAAAAGATGGTGCCGAAAGGGACGTCGAAATTTGGATAGGATTGGAAACAAAGGATAAAATTAAGCGACTTCCGGTTCCAAAGTGAGATTTATTTATATGTAGTTACAGCAAAAATTGACAAATCTTGTAGGAATATTGTAGGGTACAATTGCAATAAGTTTAGATATTTTTGCAAAAATAATTATGTGAAATGTGTCAACTTATTAATTAGATTCTTGTGGAAGGTGGGCTATAGTGAAGTAGAAGACGCAGCGATTACCGTCGTGCAAATAAATAATCCGTGGGAATTGAATAGAGACGATTACCTTCTTTGTCACGACATTTGTGACGAGTTGGATTGGTTTAAAGTGACGAAACGTTTTTCGGTCCAGCATGGATACACGTATTGCTGCGATGTCAATGCGTTACGAAAGCAAGTTAAAACTATTCCAGAATTTACGTACTCGAAAATTTTAAAAACCGTGGGAAATTCAGAATTTAATTTTGAAGAGATCAGCGAAGAAGTTGATGTCATATTCTGATCTATTTATATACGAATTGATTAATGTGCAAATTCTTTCATTTTTGCATTGAACTTCACCCGTTTTATTAAATCAGTCTTAATTTTCACAAATCAAAATTAATTATTTAACTATATTATTATCTATTTTCTACTTCTCCAAAAAAATAAAATTTTCTTAAACCCTTCCCTAAAATTAGTGTTGAATAAGCCATAAATAATCGGGTTCATTGCCGAATTACTGTACCCAATCGCCACCATGATCGGTTGAGCTATCATAGATTTCCTCCTATCCTCCGGAATAAATCCAATAATCGCATATCCCAGGGCGAACGGGGTCCAACTCAATGCAAACGCGGCGACAATAATCCCCAGCATTTTTGTCGCTTTGTAATCCTGACTAATTATCAAGTCTCGCGTGGCCCCACTTCCCACCGAAGTTGATCTTGATCCTGACCCATTGTCAAAAATTATGTGCAGGGTTCCCCTCGACCTGTAACACGACCGCCCAATCCCGTCCCCTCTTCTCCTAAGTTCCTTATGGATGGCGAAATAAGTTCCCGCGATGATTGAAAGTGGAAGAAATAAGTTTCCGAAGGCGACCGTCACGCCGAGATCGCGGGTCGTGTTGGCAATACAAAGCCCGCTCCCGATTTCTGTCCGGTCTCCGATCGCGTTCCAGTCTCGCATCGGAGGCACGATCAGATATCCGGCCAAAATCCAGATTAGGAGAATTCTCCTCAAAAATAAGGGAAATCGGCGTCTGGCGCGGTACGTGAGTGTGTCGAAAACGACGTGATACCTGTCCCTCGAGATGGCGACGAGGTGGAGGACCGACACGGTACAGAGGAGGAGTGCGATCATGATGTAAAACTGGCAATATGTTCGACCAAAGGGCCATTTATTTGAGGCAATTTCGCCAATCATGGAGGGAACGAGGAAGACGCCGACGAGAAAATCGGCGATGGCGAGGGAAAGGATGTAACTGTTTTGGGGGGTGCGGACAGGGGCGAGGATGAACCAGGAGAGGATGTCGAGGCCATTTCCGAGAAGGGAAGTGACCCCGACGACTGAGAGGAAGAAAACGAGGCTGACTTGAGACGGGAGGTTGAGGTTGGTCATTTTGGGTCTAGGGTAGCTCGTCGAAAACATGGTCGTCTGAAGGGTAACTCGCCGTTTGGGCAAGTGGTCGAAAATAATACTTGTCGAGAGTATTTTTTTTAATAAAATACGATTCTAAATATAAATTATAATTTTATAAAATAATATTTACATGAGAACTCTCAACAAAAATGCCAAACCGCCTGTTCCAGGCCTCCACTGCATTATTGGTTCTGGAAATATTATCTAATACACGTTGGTGCACATTCCAGAAGAGTATTGGAATCATTGGTGCATCGTACACCGATGTAGGTTTTTTGAACATAACTAAAAAATTCATCCAGTTCGAGTTTAGTTTGACCCTTAAAATTGAACGATACTTTCAATTCTCGCAATGCCACTCTTAAATCATCGGGCTGAACAAATGCGAGACCGAATATTTTTTATATTAATAATGCCATTGTAACGTCTTGGTCGTACTGGTTGTTTAAATTGTGTGCCAAATGTCTAAACAATGCTTGAGTATAGTGAAAATGACACCCGTGAAGTACGGCGTCTGGAAACGTGTCGTGTACAGCTGTATAGTGTTTTAAGTATTTTAGAATGTCCGCAGCGTATATCTGTCCCACGATGCACATGTATTGTGCATACTTGTGAACTCATTATATAGGTAAAATTAGTAAAGATGTTGCATGAAATTCGATGAGTTTTATGCCACCTAAATTCGACGACTTGCCTTTCTGACGAGTTTTCCGTTCGACAAGTTGATTTCGACGACTTACCTTTTCGACGACATAGGATTCGACAAGTAACCCGTATCCGCATGAGATCTATGTAAGAAAAATAAAAATATTGAGATTCGTAAACTAAATATTTACTATTTATATAAGGTTTCCAAAAATGTGTCCAAAAAATATATAGAAAACTCTGATTACAATTTTGCTGAATGACAAATGGCACTATCACTGTGCAAAATATTTGCATGAAATTTTCAATTGGAATTTTACTGACCCGTATATTAAAAAACTTACCCTTTGTCTAGGTCACTTTATGCAGAGAGTATCAACGAAATTACCATATTTTCTTTACGTTAAATATGAAAAGTTAGGGAAGCAGTTTTTTGTGCATATCAGTCAACTCAACAACGTTCGTCAATGTTATGAGCAAAAATACGTCATGTACATACTTATGAACGTACGTAAGTATTTAGGATCAGGTCAGCAAACTGATTACACAACATTGTTTATGCATACCAATTTGTGCGATTAATGAAATCTGGCTGTTTGTTTTGAGCTGGACATCATACGTATGAATCATGTAAAGTATGCATACTTTACATGATTCATTCCAGTTCTGGATTGAGGTTTATGTACATATCTACCAACGGAAAATAAGTATGCGACGCTGATAAGTGGGCAAAACTTGATATGCAAAAGATAACCGAAGTTTCGATGAATTTGCGGGTATCCAGAATTTTGCCCATTTATTAATCAATCAGTCTAACCAATCTTTTTCCTTTCTGGGATTTCATGTTATGTATTCCGTTATGTGTTTACTTACATTGATAAGAATTGAATTATCAGAATTATAGGAAATCTGCAATGTTTTTGTTCGGTGGTGTTGATAAGGTAGAATTTTTATAGTGTGTAATACTATACGCACAAGTAAAAATGGTACACAGGTCTCTACTTATTTGGCTTTTACTCTGCTGACGAACCCGACTGATCGTGAGGTGAATGATGAGTCTTCTTGACAACCCTTATCTGTATTCATTGGTATTCGTTGGTTAAAATTCGTCCCGAATTATAATCATGTTTTTTTTGCTGTTTGCGAGCTGGGAAATTTGTATTGTCTGACTAACACACATAGATGACAATCGGATGTTAAAATGGAGACAAGTCGTGATTTAAGTATTTAATAAAGCACGGTTGTGCAAATCATGACATGATTGATTAATAAATGGCTTTATAAATGCATGCTCAAATCAATTGCATAGCGACCGAAGTAAATAGCAACAATATTTAAATACTTATATTATGTAGATACAATGTGTGGAATCTTTCAATGTTATTATATTTTCATTTGTTTATGTATGTATCTATGTATGTACACTGCTAAAAACTGCGAAAAAAGTTGACAGATAATTTGCAAACTTGTAACGTAAAGTACAATTACACAACCTCTACATAAGCTCATTGTCAATCAGGATTATATTGTCTCAAGACTATTAAATTCGCGAGAGAAATTTTCACGACAATTTCACTAACACAATTATTATATGTGCATACATACTTTAAGGGAAATAAATGGATGCATTTTTATGGATAAAATGAGCCCCATTAAAATCAGACCTGAAAGACTTTGCTTTGTATGTTACATAAATATGTATGTCATATGTACACATGTATCTATTTTCACGGGCACAAAACATCTTCTAGTAGATAAGTAATTGAATTAAAAACTTACATAAGTATGTATGTGCAAGTAGATATAATTCATAACACTTTTTATGGTCAGTATCATTCTACGTTCAAGTTTAAACTTATATAGAAATAAGACATCATCAAGTAAGAATTGTTCACTTATCCATATTTAATTATTCTTTGGATAAATCATTAAATTCACCAAATTAAGTATATATGTATGTATAAGTAGCAATATCGCTCGAAAGAAAATTGACAATAAGATCAACGGGTAATAGTCAGAAATGCATCTAAAAATTGTAACAGAGTAGAGACACACGAATTTAGCATCCAGAGTTAATTAGTCAGTAAAGAATTCAATCCCAAATTTTGTTAACTCCTCCGGAATCGTGGGATGGTTTCCTGCACGGACATATTCCAAAGTACCGGTATACAAACGACAATATTTCCTCAATTCTTCGGTCCATTTTCTCAGCACGGCCCTTTCCTGGCCCATTCTCATGCAACAAACTAAAATCGTTGCAGCAACGTCGGGATGCATATTTCTGATTGGGACGTTCTGGAGGAGGGCGTAAATCCTGGTCAAGACGTACATACAGTTTGCATAACCATGTTGGTCCAATAACACGAGGTCAGCAATTACATAAATTCCAAAATTCGTCAATGCATAATTCAGATCTGGCGTCGCCGCACGAAGCCTTTCCACTTCGGCGATTGTATCCAAGTCGCGGGCGAAAGAGTCGCGTTCAAATTGGTACACATGCGTGACTGGATTGAAGGCAAGGCATTTGAGAAGTTTGTCTCTCTTCGCAATCACAACGGGACTTTCAGATCGGTCCAGTTCGCATAATCGACATTTACAGATGAAGCCTGTAATTAGGGTTGCCGCGGGTAACGGGTCGGGTACCCGTTACCCGCATACCCGCACGATTCTTGCGGGTACCCGTTATCTGCGGGTAGCGAGAACTACCCGCACGGGGAACGGGTAGTTCAGTTTTTATTTAATTTTCGTCAAAACTCAGTTCACAAAGAAAGTTAGCAGCTAGTTAGTCCATTTACCAACAAAAGCGTCAATTTATTATTTTTCCATTTCAAAATTTGTCATTTGTCAGCAACAAACGTTTATAGCCGGAGTCTCTTTTCGGAAGCCACAGAAGCCTATGCTAGCCTCAAATATATTTGACGTCCAGAAACTGCGGAGCAATTATTGTTTCTCAAGCATAGTTTGCCTGCTCTAAATATAGTAATAATTTGACTTGTATTTGTGTGTATTTATGTATGTAAGACTGACGAGATTTTAACATGTTCGAAGGTGAAAAACCTGAATCCGATTCAAAGCAAAAAATTTATTTGTAGATAATATTTTCGAATGAAAACTTAATTCAAATCAAAATTTGAAAAAATCAAACTAAAAATTGAACCTTTTTCAAGCCATACCAAGATTGCCCAGCGAGTATATAAAAAATTCAGGCCACAAATTAGGAATCGCGTGATACTTATCTTTCCGTTGAACGGCCCCTTCGAAGAAAAATATCGGCGGCAAAGTTTAATTTTCAAGTAAATGTTCCGTATTTTTTCCTCCATTAAACAAATACCATGGTGGACTTTGAACTCTCTATCCCATCCCAATAGTTTCCATTAAACGGGTCATTCAACGGAAAAATAAGTGTCATGTAATTCCTATTTTTTGGCTCAATTTTTTGATATATGTGCATAAATCGGTTTAGCTTGAAAAACGATTCAATGCAAGCCAAAATTGTTGGTTAGAAAAATAACGAGTGATATTTACGAGCAAATTATGGCATGCGTTACTTGCATAGCATTATCTTAAAGTACATATCAACCCAAATGAACAAATAATTGATCAAATCATATTTATTCTGAAGTTTGGTTAGTTTTTAACCTAATTCTCATAACGGGTAGCGGGTAACGGGTACCCGTGCGGGTACGGGTAGTTGTGCTGCGGGTAGCGGGTCGGGTAACGGGTAGCATTTTCGCTACCCGCGGCAACCCTACCTGTAATCAATAAAGACATGCAAATTTAAATCATTTTAAAATAGAAATAGCAACGCATAAAATCATTTGTCACCATGGGTCTCCATAAAATTTCGCATCGGCAACGGTCGCATCGCGTCGACATAACTGACGAGAATTTCTTCTCCTTTTTTCACCCTTTTGAAAGTTGTAACCATCATGATTAGGCTGGAGTCATGATTGCGATACATGGCGTTGGAATCAATGCAGCTGTGATTGATTTTGGACGAGGAGATCCAAACACCAGTGGAAATGAACCGTTCGCCGGTTTCAACACCTGAGCCTACCGAGGTGGAGTTAAATTTGCAAATATTTTCTATTCGAGTAATGTCCACTTTGGTCATTTTGAGGTCTTCATTCTCCGTCAAAGATTTGAGGTCAGGTCCAGCCCACATGGTGTAAATATCACGGCCAAGTTCAGGATCGAGCCGGATTTTGTTTGCAATCAGGCCGACAAGGTAGGCCCGAGTGGTCGAGTTCAATGAAAATGTCTTATGCTCCTCCGAGGGGACAAAGACCGCGGCGAACGGTCTGCAAACCAAAAGAACTTCTCCAGGTTCGAGATCTTGGGTGGCAAAGAGTCCTTCGCCCTCGCCAATCTTACTCTTCGCGAGTTGAATTGGTCCCCGAAATTCGGAGATGCGGTCCATCATCCCGACCGGTAAGTCTGGCTGAGCTCTGTTGGAATTCCTTGGCGCTGGGTTGAGTAATGCAAGGACAATTTCTTTCGCGGGTGGTTTACCCAGTTCGGAAACGATTGATCTTTATATCGAGAAATAAAAAAATCAAATATTAAAAAATTAAAATAAAATTCTAACATACTCAAATGTAATTAAATTTGTTTGTTGATGAATATATGTAATTTGGATTTTGAATCGCACCTCAATCTGAGAATATCTTTACTCTCGTCTCCAAGGGATGGGTGCTGCTTGAGCTTTTCGTCCAGAAATTCACCACCTTCAGAGTACCGTCCAAGTCCAATTAGTGCTTTGGCGTGACGATAGATCGCCTTGACATGAGCATTGTTGATCTCAAGAACTTTTCCAGTACAGATTAGGGCTGGATTAAAACAATCCAGTTTGATCAGAGCGGCCGCTTTGTTGGACAAGATGTCAACCAGGAGTATCGACGCTGCTGGAGGTATCTTCTTTTCCTCTTCTTCCACAGGTAGGTATTCTAGAGCAAGGTCGTAAAATCGGATTGCGTCGGTCGATCTGTTCTCGACGAAGGCCTTGTTTGCTACGTTCTTTAGCTTGGTGGCAATCTCTAGGTCACTTTCGTCAGGTGAAAACTCCCAGAGGACAGAATTAACCAGATATCGAGAATCATTGGGCAGATTTGACTTCCATTTAACCCCTAAGCAAAAAATACAAATAAAACAAATACAACGTAAGACAACAGAAGATATTTACAAATCGCATCCAAATCTTCACCTGGAAAGAGCAATTTCATTCGTTTTGGACTTAGGATCTCTACATCAGCCGGATTCTCAACAATCAGTCCAAACACGAACAATTCGTCAGAAGGCCGTTTAAACACGGGATTCTTCACGATCAGCATTGTTCCCAATGGAAGAACCGCTTCAAAATCTGACTTCCCCATTCGAGCATCCACGGAATAGTTGAATAGGGCTAGTCGCATGGCTTTCTTTCCTTCGACATCCTCCACACCGGCGTCCACTCCGACCATCTTGCTCGACGGGGTTATCGTTCGACAAAGCAAAAACTTCCCCTTCAAAACCTTTGATAAAAGGAAAATCAAGATTAAATTTGAATTTTAAATTACTTTTAACCCAGTCTCTATTTTACCTGCCCCACATTCTTCACCAGTGTTTCGATACTGACACAGTTTTCCATTTTCAATTCAACCTCCATACTCTCGTCGTAAGTGGAATGCTTATCGGTCGGACATGCTAGCAACATAAGTTCTTCCGGATCGAGGTCAGACGGAGGTTCCAATTTTAACGGACCGAGGACGTCGCGATGGACCCGATTCATCGCAGAAATGACGTTGCGCCTCTTTGTGTCAAGGAGGATGGATTCTTCTTCGGTGGGTTCACAATATCTTAACATTTGGAGTTTGCCATTTATCCATTCCATTTTTATATCGCCATTCTGTGGCGGCTGCATTTTTTTAGGACCCATGTTCTTGTGGATCGTAGTCGTCTACTATTCTGTTTTTTTTTGTGGTGGGGGTGTGCCAGAAGTGGAAATATTTATTTATTTATTTGTTGATGGCTACTCAGGATCAGTGCTCACTGCTCACTGATATTGCTTGACTGACTGGATCGTGCAATTCCTACTGTGCCCCAGGCTCTGACTCCACTCCTAAAAAATCTGTGCTTAGGGAGGAGAAAAGTTCATGAAATTATTTTTTTCTGCAGTATTATATTTCCATCGTTAATAGAAGTAAGTCGTGTTTAATTAGTAAATATCAGTAGAAGGAATTAATGTCTGCGACAGATCATATAATTTGGTGGCCGTAAATGTTAGCCGACTTTAAAGCAATATATATGTACGTATGCACATATTTAAGTTAAGTAATGCAGTTGCATAATTTGCAAATTTTCAGACAGTTTTCAATGCTCGCTAGTTAGATGCCGTAGTAATTAAATAAGTTAAATTTAAGTATTAAGGATTCATTACTTATTACATATGCAATCACTAATTATAAATTTAAGTACATCTTTAGTAGTGTCCATCATATTTGTCTTTGTGGACTTATGAATTGATGAGTAATTTAACATGATTGTGCGCATGCAAATACATGTATTCACATATATCTAAGAACGTACAAGCATATCAAACAGTCATTTTTTCGCTTTTCTCATTAAGTAATTTATTACCTTTAGACAGACACGAAGACATTTATCTAAATTAAATTGAATCAATAATTCATAAAACTCTTCTGTATATTTCTATAAGAACAGACGCAATTACAGTACAATAGTCTCAAAAATATATGCATATGTACGTAAGAACAATGTGTCCTTTTTTTCTTCGAGGTTTAAATACTTCTACCCTTATTAAATATTTGCCATACGTTCTTCATAATTTCCAAAATTGCTGGTTTTTCGAGATGCTAATAAGCATGCAAATACTTTGTCTTCTTCGGGGTTCAATCATCGTCACTTTACTTCTACATAAAATCCCAACTGTAAGCACGACGCACTCATTAAGAAATCTGCTTGCCCCACTTAACAGTGATTGTGACCTTCAGATAATTCGTGATACTGAAGATATCCAGGACAAGATCAGCGACAATTATCACTTTTCAAACCACCACCCCACAACGATTATTAAACATCTAAAATTAAATTGGAAACTCCCAGGAAGCATGAGTAATATTTTTCGGACCCGATTTTCTAAAATGTTTTCCAAGATAATTTTGATATTTTCACACATTTTAAACTCACACAAAATTTCCAACAAGTTCCAGCCACTTGGTTATTTAGTTGCAGTCTCAACAGCAAAATCTGAATATTATTATTACGTGGAACGTAGGAAAATAAAAGCATGGGTTAGACTGAACCCTTATATAATTTTGATTTCGACAAAATCCAAGGAATCTGTAACACCAATCGTACAAACCTCAGAATTGTATACGTATTCCTATGAGGAAGTCGAAAAAGCGAATTATTTCGCCGTCGCTTATTTCCGAAACTTTTCACTCGCAGAAATTTGCTTCTATCCTTTCGGTTTCCTCCATAAGCACCAAATTTCAGAAATAGTGTGCCTAAATTGGAAGGAAAATGAGAATACAAATATTATATCTCGCTTTCATGAAATTGCAAAACCACCAAAATTTTGGTACATACACGAGTACAATATGGCTCAGATTTACCTCTCTAGAACCAATCCGTTCCATCGGATCGGCGCAAATTACTCTTTTCTCCAGCACGTAGCAAATTGTGTGTTCGAAAATAATGAAAATATCACTGTAATTTCGACCCAGGAGCAAGTCAACGATCTTTTCGCCCCATCTCGTCCAAGATATGGAACGGTCCTTGCATCCAACATAAACCTCAACTTAGCAAGCTACTCCAAGACAACGATTGCCATAAAATACAGCGGTTATGAATTTTTGACCTGTTACGCCGAAAATTATATATCGTTTGAATTTTATTTAGCCCCTTTTCAACCCGAGTTGTGGTACGGTTTGGCAGTTTGTTTAGTCGTTTTGATCTCTGTTGTCTCAATTTACCTCCATTTCTCAAAGTTACCCACCTTTCCGGCATGGTTGTTCGTGATAGCGACGCTTTTTGAAGAGGGCTTCACCCTTCCGGGACAAGTTGAGAAAAAACAATATATCCGCCTTATTCTAGGCACTTGGTGTCTAATGTCCATAACGTTGACAAATTGTTACAATGGAATTATGATATCCGAGCTAAATTCACCATTAAAAGCGAGTCAACCAAACAAATTTTATGACCTGGTTTGTCACAAGATTCAAAATTCTAAGAGAAATCCAAACTTTATTTCGGCCAATTTTAACAACAATTTGTCACACCTTGACATATCCGCTCATAAGAAATATTTCAACGAGATTGCTGCTTTTAGAGAGGACAATAACTCTGATTGGAGACTAACTTTACAAAGTGATTTCCAAGACGGGGCATGTTTCAAGCTTTTATCTAATTTTATTCCAACCAGTAATGTCCCCATTCCGGAATTTCTTGATTTTCTTTACGGAGAACATTATTTATTCCTTTATTATTTTTTTACCTTTAGACCGCCTCGCATTTATTACAAGTATTTGACCCATGGAAACTCCTTTTTGACCTTTAACCTCTTAAACCCACTGCATAGCCATGTCCCGAAAGGGATACGGTACTCGGAGGAAGGTTATCAGTTGGATAACCTTCAAAAATTGGTGGAACAAGAGATCGTTTCCTGTGGAAAGAACGTTTTCACAAGCAAGTCAGACATGTTGGAGGCAGAATTCAAATTTTTAGAGAAACATTATTTTTCTAAAAATTTCTACAAGGGGAAAGTTCTAGATGAGAGTGAATTCTTAGGGTTGGTATTTCTACAGGTGGGGGTTTCCAGGGTGGTGAAATGGTACAAGTTTTTGGTGGAGGGGGGAATTTATGGTAGGTTGGAGAGGGAGGAGTGGGAAAATAAATATCTGCATAGGAAACCTGCCGTTAAAATTGGTGGGAGTGGTGAACGCGTGACACCGTTGGACCTGAGTGGAGCTATTGTGACGCTATTTATCCTGTGTGGAGGTTGGATTGGGGTGACAAGTTTGGTTTTTTGGGGCGAAGTTCGAGTTATAGTGGGTCATTGTTTAATTAAGTGGATTTGTGCGGTACATTTAATAATGCTAAAGGTCAAGGGGAAACGGAAAGTCAGGAAGCAAATCAGGGGGTGAAAAATTGTATTCGGTGCCTGGCTTTATAAAATTAATTTATTATGACTGTAGATGGAATAAATCAAGTTATAAATAGTTGAATAGATTTATCATTAAGAATTCACAGCGCTCCTCGGTCCTTTCTCGTGTAGAATGAATTTAATTACTTACTCGACATGTCATGTGCGTATGTATGTATGTATGAAGGGGTAAATTTATGTATCTATGTATTGATACACACATTTTCCAGTATGTTCTAAATACTTATATTGTTGCTGTTTGTACTCTCAAGTTGCAAAATAAAATTAATTACACAATTAATTAATTAAGTAATTAAATTAACTAGCTATGGAATTAAATTACGCATTGGGTTTTACATATGATGTTCAATGTAATTAGCTAAGAATTTGATAATCCATGGGATAATTAATGGCTTTAATTATTCGAGTATTTATGTACTAAATGCCTGATCATATTTAAATGAAAGTACACCAATTCCGATTATTCCGAGGTAGACCAGATTTAATATTTAAATGCATTTATTTATCACATAATATTTTCATAATATGAATTTTAAACTTACACAAGTCAAATTTTAAATTTTAATATGGCCACGCAAGGTCAATAAAATTTAGAAACTTTAAGAAGTTGGACAAATTTTACGCGAACGGAGTGACATCGTAGAGTGATAAGATATCGACTTGATCCATAAAATCTTGCAGTGACATTGGATCTCGCGACTTGTACGTTAATACTTTCGAGGATTCAATCATAATGAAACCATTATCGTTGAATTTTCCATTCGTGTGTTCCTTCAAGTTGACGAAGACGAAGGGGGCCACCTCCTGCGAGGAGAGAGTGATCGTAAAAGTTTTCAAATCTGGGGACGCTGTGTATTGGGTTGCCTGTAAAATTTACAAAAAAAATATTTGTAATATGGGTAAAATTAGGTATGAAATTAAGACAAAAATCAATAAAATTAACACAAAAAAATCAATAACGGAAGTCAAGGTTGGCGATTAGATATGTGGATTATAATCGATTCCTGATTATAATCGGGTCAAAATTCTCTATTGGCGATTAGATTATTTTTCACAAAAAACTGAACGTCGAAATTTACGATTATTTAGGATTATAATCGATTATTATACTATTTTGAAAAAAAAAATTAAAGAAAAATAACGGTGCCATAGCTACAATTGACTTATGCATTTTCGTTGCTGGAAGAAAATAAAATCTATTTCTCGTTGATCGGAGACCACTCACAGTTCCAGATTATAAGCATATGTAATCGACATAATCGTTAACCTTGACTACCGCTAATATTTAGTGTAAATTACATATGCAAATATGTCAACAATCTCCTTTCTCATGTCATGGTCATGAATAAAATTGGGTATGAAATTAACAAGACAGAAATAAATAAAAATTTCTAAAAAATCAATATTTAGTGTAAATTAAACATGTCAGCGTTCTTGTTTCTCGTGTCATGGCCAAAATTGGCTATGAAATTAGACAAAAATAAACAGAACAGTAAACAAAATCTATATTTAGTGTCGAGTGTTCTAGTTTCTCATGCAAATAAAATTAGGTAAATAATTCATTCCAATGTTTGTAATATAACGTAATAAGTAAACTTTGCTACTCCTGTGAAATTAAATTATCTTGCAAAATGTTTATCTATGTTACACCGGTAAGCCAGTCCTTCTTACGACTAGTTGTAAATTTCAGCATTACAAATATCCTAGCGAATTAAATGTTTATCATTAAATGTCCCTTACCCGAATACTGGGATTTTTCACCCACTCCTTATTCGTTGGGTATTGCAGCCATAGGAAATTATCGGGAATCTCCGGCTCCGCAAAGGACACGACGACAAAACAGGGCGACGCCGCGTTGGCTTCCCCACAACCAACAGCAGTCAATTCGTCCGCAGTGAATCGATAGACTTCCGGCGACGTGAGGTAACTCTGAAAAAATGATGTAATTAAGCAATTAATATTCTAACTAAATAAAATAATTAACTTTTCTGGTTACAGTTTCAACTCCTGCGCGGAGGTCGATCAAGGGTGTCAAGCTGGCCAAATTGAAGACGCGGAAGCGCATTTCTCCAGCGAAGGGAGCGACACGATCGGAAATCAGGTCGACGGAAACGTCCCCATTGTCCTGCTTGTAAGGGGAGGCCAGAATTGGGGAAAATGCACGCTGAATGTAGTACGCAAACATTTTCCAACGTCCGTTAATCTCTGCGGGATAAGTTAAACGGGATTAATCAATAGTAAAATTTGAATGATGAAAAACATTTTTGAAATTTTTTGAATAATTTTTAATTCGTTGGTGCACTCTAAATAATGTAGTATCAAAGATTAACAGTCTGTAAAGTGACGTGCGATTTCAAAAACTAAACGAGTTGCGATTCGGAATACAAAATTAACATGAGCACACCCATTGCAAATTTTTTGATCTTACCATTAATCACAATTGTCAAAACTTACCAAAAGTTGCCCATGAACATCCCTCCCAAATATCGTTCAACTGCCAGTACAGCGCACCCATGTTGAACCCAGTGCCATCGGTTTCGTTAAACTTGTCCACCAGTCGTCTGTAACGTTCTGTCTGCGTCTTTTGCGACATGGAGTGAATGATCTGAGCCATGTAAAGCATGGATGGGAAGGCTTCGCTGGAATTGTAATTGAGTGGAAACGGGAGATGTGATCGGGTCAGGTTACGGATTTCTTCCTGACCTCTGGGATGATGTTGACGATTCTCTGCAAAATCGGATTCCCACGTCCATTCAGCAAGATTGTCGGTAACCTTAATTTAAAAAATGGAGGCGTTAAGTTAAAAATGGATAATTTTTTACCTAATTTTGAAATTCCCTAAATTTCTAAAATCATAAAATTTCAAGGCTTGCATGTTGATTAATTTTAATCAACAAGCCTTGAAATTTTATGATTAGCAATTCTTTGCAATTCTATTCTTGATAATTTTATGATACCCAACTCTAAATAATTGGACATCGATTTGTTATAAATTCTCTAGGTATAAACTCTTACGAAAATTGTTGATAATCAAATTCGATGTCGATTAATTTCGAAGGTATTATTTATGCAAATGATTTGTAAATATTTAACTCAACAGATTTTGAGTAATTTCTAAATTTTACGTTAATATTCTCACCTTTCTTAGAGTCTCGATATATGGGAAGGATTGGTACCCGTATTCTGAGGTATAGCGTGGCTTTCTGAAAACCCGGTAATCCCATGAATCCGAAGTGTAGTCATATGGATGCACTTTTATCAAAAATTGTACATTTAATAAAAATCTGAGTTCATATAAATAAAATTCGAAATTACTTACTGTCACCGTAGCGCTGATCACCCGGGTTCTGGGCGACCCAACCCTCTAATTCGGATTGATATCCGTTCGTGGGACTGGACGAAATGCATTCTCGAGATGGATCCAAAAACGTGACGTTGGAGATGATCGTGTCAACATAAAGTTTGATAAAGTCGGCTTTATAAGTTTCAAATCTACTCTCCGTTCCGTACCAGTTTTGTCGGAGGGCGCCCTCGTTCTCATTGTTGGCCGCCCACATGGCCAAACTGGGGTGGTGCTGGAGACGCTTGACTTGCGTGTCGACTTCTTCCATCACATTGGCGAGAAAGTCAGGCGTGGCAGGGTACCTGGGACAGAAGCATAATTGGAAATTGGAATTAGCGAGATTGGAGGTATGGTGGTTATTTCGATCGAGCAGGGACCCCAATCACCCCAATTTTTCGAACGCAAGCTACTCTTCGTTTAAAAATAGAAACCAAAGCCCTGACATTTTTCTAAATTGTTGTGTGCCATATAACCAAACTCTTCCAGATAACCTCTCAGATATTGTTGTCTCTATTTTTTTAACAAACAACAGTGGATTAAAAAAAACGAATAACGTAACCACGTTATTCGTTTTTTTAATTTATGGTAGGAAATTTAGTCCCATTCGGTCGTGACACTCGACGCGACTCGTTTTGACGGTAATTCGTTGAAATTCTGATGTTTAAAAATTGTTACACATCGAATTTGAGCAATGTATAATTTCATAAACTTATTTGACATAAGGGGTTTAATTAAGTTACAAAAATAAAAATTTCAAACTTACATCGCGCAAGCGAACATGAAATCTTCCCAAATGAAGATTCCCATTTCATCAGCAAGCTATGGAATTACAGATTAATTTGATTCGGTGTCAAACTAAAATAAATAAATAGTTTTCATAATTATTTTTTGAACATGTTACGTCATAGAACACATCCGATTCGTACATCCCGCCACCCCAGACTCGAATCATGTTGGAATGAACTTCCTTCGCGGATTGTAACAACCACTGAGTCATTTCCGGCGTTATCCTTTCAGGCAGGACGTGGATGGGGATGGAATTCGACCCCTTCGAGTACAGTGGAAGGTCGTTAACCTTGAAATAAAAGTGGCGTCCTGGAAAAATTAAATTTCGTAAAATTTCATGAAATCCAAAATTTATAAAATTTATTTGTAGTAGTTTGTTTAACTAAATAAAAACCGACCCCAATCTGGCGTAGTCTCGTTGATAAGATCCTGAATTAAAACCACGGTACGAAATCCAACCCGTACGCTTTTTGTACTCGTTTCATTAAAGGAATCCGAAGAGTAGGAGATGTCATAAGTGTACAAATTTTGATCTCCGTAACCATTCGGCCACCACAATTTTGCGATGCTTCCCTAAAAAATAAATGTTTTATAACATCGAATCCCATTAAAAATCAAAAATTTCAAAAAAAATATTAAAACAAAATCGAGCAATTTTCAATTTCTAAAACGGTATCGTATTTTTATAGGAAATTAATATTTACTAACCGGCACCATAGCGGTCACATCGTGGACATTGCTCGAACTTGACAGTGTCACCGGTACACTGACCCCTTCCGCATCTCCGGACCGTTTCAGCGTCAAAGTTCCACTCTCCGACACCGGCGCAGATTCAAAGTAGACGCGTGCCGTAAGATTCCACACGGTCGCGTCCGTTTCGTCGGGTGGGGTTTGGCTAGAATTCGTAAAGATAAGAACGTCCCTTATCACGGCCCCGTTTAATCCCTCGATGAAGATGGATTTCCTAAATTTTTTCACATAAATAGATCAATCACTTTATTCACTTTGATGGATCATTTTGTTTACGGGAAGATAAGCCTGGTGGTGATAAGCACATTTACCAAATTCCAGTGGTTGGGTATGAAGGCCCCCAATCCCAGGAGAAGGTTGATTGTGTCTTTCTAATCATTTGAGCCTGGTTTTCACCCCGAAATTCGGGTACTAGGGCGTCGGGTAGGACCGGGTAGCCGTAGATTTGGTCGTGTCGAATATACCCGGACTGTGCATACTCAACCGGAGAACGGAACTCGACTCGTAAACTGTTGACGCCCAACTAGTTATTTATAAAAAAGGTCTTGAAGATTTTATGAGAAATTTTGAAATTGTTAAAAAAGGGGAAAATATTTATATTTTTCCAACCTGAATTGCAAACTTGATGTTGAAAATGTATCGGACAAATTGGTTCTGGCTGCTTCCGACGAGAATGTTGTTGACGTAGACGTCCGCCACGGTATCGAGTCCTTCGCATACGAGAACTATTCTCGATTTGGCGAGAAGCTCGTTGCTAGCTGACGGTATAGAAATATAGACAAAATAAGTCACGTGTGTATTTGCATATTTATTATTTGCATATCTAGGTACAAAACTTACGGGTAAATTGTCGCGAAAATGTCCAATTCGTTCGACCCACCCATTTTGACTCGAGGTCATTGTAGTCATGATAAATTGGCGTGGTTAGGACTTGATTCGCTTCCAGGTCGGAATATATTCCACCCGGAACTCCAGCAGCGACAGAATAGTCTGAAAACATTAAAATTAATTCCAGTTATAAATCCATGATTAAGTTTCTAATTAATTAAAAATATCACTAATAAATTTCCAATCTCACCTGTCGTTCCGTTCCTCCCGGTCGCCGTCCATACGCCCAAGTCACGCTCAGCGTTCAAATTTAGAGCAATTATGCCGGTATTAACGACCGGCGAGGTGACGACATGTGTCGTGTAGCAGGACACGACTAAAATTGCTATTAACCGAATCATCCTCACTTTTGGGATGATATATGTAAATTAGTTAAATTTCTAAACAAGTAAATACTTTGTCCGTCAACCAGACGCGACTGAGGTGAGGAGATAACTGGCTAATTTTAGTCAAAGTGGTGACCCCAGTGCTGCATATCTGCTTTGTAAAACTGGGGAGGATTTGACTTGATAAGCCGAGATGATGGATGGCCTAATTGATTTACATAACAAAGAAGAGCTAAGCTTGGCAATACAAATTGTATAATCCGAATGACACATCTGATTCCAAACCGTGTTAAGATTACGACTTGTTGGAGGATGAGTTAGTAAATATTATGTACATATCTAGACATGGAATAATAATTATTATAAGGAGACATAATACGACCAAGGTTTATATAATATGAACTTACTTATTGTATGCACAAATGTTGGTTTGGTGGTGCCGTTAACCTTTCCATGATAAAGGAATGTTTGTTATAGATAAGGTGAATTTCACTTATGTGTGTGGTGAGAAGTTTGGGCAGACGAAAGTGGTCTTTACGGTATTACATCCCGTGTTGAGGTTTGTCTTGGTCACAGAATTAGAGAAGTAATACTATATTACCTTGGTCTTGGTTTATGCATGAGAATGTTACATATTGGGCTTATTTACAAGTTTTGGCTGGGACATTTCGTAAAATTTGATAAATTTAACAAGTTGAACTTTCCTTAGCGAATTAACAGAAAAGAATATTTTGATAAATGTAAAACAAAAAATATTTCTACGTCGTGTCCCCCGTTTTCCTAATTGATTCGAACCTGCAAGAGAGCCGACAAAGATTTGCCGTACGTATACCTAAGTAAAAATAAATATACAAAATAACCGAGTAGATAAATACACCTGTTGTGTTGTCCGTATTTGCAATTTTTTCAACACGGATCGGTATTAAGGATAAGTAAATATATGTATGTACATATGGATTATGCGGAGGTGTGCATCTGGACGGCAAACGTGTATATACATATGTATGTATGCATGCATGTATATGTTGTACGGTAAACCGTTGTGTAAAGTACTGTGAAAGTAAAAACAACACGCAAATTTGGCAAATTCCGAATTTCCAATAGTTTATGAAAGCTTCACTTTAATACATATGTATCTATGTACATACATATTTGTATGTATGTTCATATGCATTTACAATATAGAACAACGGTTTAATTTAAGGTTAAAATATTAATCGTGGAATGCATAGGCCTGCCTGGACATTTTATGCACATGAGTGTTTGGTAATTGTACATATATACAGGCACGTATGCACATATGCACATATGCATTTCCAATTTGGAAACATGTATAGAGCCGGCGAATATGTAATGGGTTATGGGTTGAAATTTGTGTACATCTGAGCAAATCCGAAACTTAAACAACAGCTAAACTGTCCGTATAAATACATATATTGACAATTAGGCAACTCTATCCATCTCAACAATTGCTGTTTTTACTTCATTAATCTATAATTTCATTTTAGTTAAGTTACCTATTTATACGTACGAAAGTACATAAGTATGTACTACATACTATGTAGGTACATATGTATGTATGTCCATAAGTAATGTGCCCATAGTTTATGTGTTTATTCACCACATTGTCGACCAAAGTAACATGACAAGTAAAGAAGTTGAGTTTTTAACGTTGAATATCATTTTTCACCAATGATTAAATTAAAATATTGCTCGGAACTGTATCCCCTCTTGGGAATATTAAAGAAATAAGAAATATGTGCTTTATTCGTCCTCCCGAACTGTGTCATATACATATTATTTGCATTAGAACCATTCCGCAAAGTGTAACCCACGTCGAAAAACGATATCTTGCCTCTTTACGAGTTTGATTGATCAGTTACCTGCCTGAGTTGAAAAAAGAAAAACGTACCGTATCAGTCCTTCACTTGTTAATTTGGCGAATCATTCACCCTGAATGGTTACCCATTTGAACTGTTTGTGTGACGAGTTGACGTTGTTCAGTCCAAAAAATATACCTAATCATGCAATTGAAATACATAACCTACGTACATGTGTTCTACTAATTTGAGATACATTCAGAATAAAGTCCACGTACAACACATTTATCACAACAAAGATTAAAGATATGAAAAATATGATGAAACTGGGATGAATAAAAGGCCCTGAGAATCTCAGTAAATGCATCAGTCTTTTCTGCAAACTTGTCGCCATGAAAACAACCATCGTATTCATAACGCTTCTCGTCACCGCCGTGAACTCTCAGTGGTTCGCTAACCCGCCATTTTACGCCTCGCAGTACACCACTGTGGGCGTAGCGCGTGGCATAATTACCGACCCGGTGGGAGACTTGCTTATCTTGGGGAGAAGTCTTAACGGGATTGCGGTCGTGTACGAGAGAGACAATGGCGATGGCACGATTGACGTGGTCAATCAGAGAATCGTTGTAGTCAACGGGCTCAACCTGAACCATGGCGTGGCGTATAGTAATGGGTATATTTATGGAGGGAGTGCTCGGAATATTTACAGGTACGGGACCGGTTTATTTAAAAATTATTGTCGAACTGGATAAACGAACTGAACACCGAGTTGGTTTCCAAATTTAGAGAAATTTAAAGAGCTACTTTTTATTAATTAACGTTAAAAATGTTCGTAACACGGTTAGTTAAGAAACTTGAAAAAATTTGCTATAAGTATTTTTGCCCACGAAAATTTGGAACACAGATTTTAATTCATAATAGTCTTATATATTTGTAAATTGTTAAATAGTATGCACAAACGCAGATAATGTTAATTGGTAGATTCTGATTCGCTCTGCTCAATTTAACTTAATAATATGATACCGTGTACTTAATGGATTCGAAATTGAAATTTAATGAAATTTATATTTTGCTTATGTACAATTTACAGATGGCCTTACACTCCAGGAAACAGGACACAAATCGATATCGGAGAGGAAATCGTGGTCACAGGTCTCCCCGAAGGAAACCATGATTCACACGCAATCGTATTCGACGCACAAGGTCGACTCTATTGCAGTATCGGGTCCAGAAATAATATCGATCTGGACTCCAACCGGTCCAAAATTCTGAGATTTGAGCTGACAGGGAATTTACCGAAATTATATGAAGAAGGAGAGGTGTGAAACATATTTAATCTGATATTCTTAAAAAATCGCGTATGCTAATTGGTTTCTCGACCTTATGTTGTATAGCTTTTTGCCGACGGTCTCAGAAATGAGGGGGGTCTAGCCTTCGACAATAACGGCACCCTGTCGAAAACGGTGCGGACAACTTATACCGGGAAGATTTAGGTGGTGACATTCACGATTTGAACCCTGCCGAAGAGTTCAACCGTTTCGACGGACCGCTCGCAGAACACTTTGGTTATCCGTATTGTTTCAGTACGTATGGGTTACCTGGATACGCGGCAGGGACACAGTTCGCGTGGCCCGATTTTATGAACGATTCGATCCATAGTGACGATTGGTGCAGAAATGTGAACAATGTAAGTACTAAATTCTGTTTAAATGTAGACAAATTATTGTAACGATTTCGTTTTAGCACAAAAATATAAACAAGTATGCAAAATTATGAAAATGAATACAAATTTTGTTAAAAACTAAAATTCGGAAAGTCGGGTTTTCTTAGAGTATGTTTCTTAGAGTTTTGGTTTTGAAACATAATTCAATGTAGTTTGAATTTAATACATTTTCAGTACAATTTCCTCGATTTCACTTGCAATAAAATTTAGATACAAGTTTTTCAATCAGAGTTTAGTAAATTAGCGATTAAATTTTAAAGCTCGAAATTAGATATTAAGAAAATTGTATTGCTTTAAAGAATCGACCGCCCCTGATTGCCATGTCGGCGCACGAAGCCCCCCTTGGCTTTGACTTTTATCGGGGTCAAAACTGTGGCAATGGAGGTGGCGCGTTTCCGTGCAACATGACAGGCGACGCCTTCGTTTCCTTCCACGGGTCTGTCAATCGCACTCCGGCGTCGGGTTATCGAGTCGCACGTTTCCCATTCAACGCAGCCGGAAACGCAACGGGGGAGGAGCTCAATGTCATTAGCGAGCTGGATGTGGCTGGGTGCGCCGACGGGCCGTGTATTCGACCGGTCGATGCCGCCTTTAATGACAACGGTCATCTCTTCATTACTACGGATTATCCAGGAATTATTATTCGCGTAACGTACGGAACCCCTGGACCACGTGTGAGGAGAAATATTGATAGCTTGAACTAAGTTAATGATCCACTTGTTGCAATTCGTACTTAATTGGGAAATTTAATAAAAATCAAGTTAGAAAGTTCACAAGTTTGCACATCTTTACTGTTCATCCTTCTTTAATGTTGGCTAGTTAATTTGCACGCTATTTTCGTAAATTTTATGAGTCGATTACACGGATGTATAAATACTTTAAATGTATTGGCAGAGCGATTCATTTTATGTCTTATTGAATCATCCCTTGCGTATATACATATGTATAAACGCAAGGAAATAGCACGTGCTCCAAAAGTAAACCCAACACACAATAAACATACCGAAAACTGCATACATAGTTACATATAAATCGTATTACGATTTCTTCACTAACACAATTTGAAATCGTTACCTGGCTTAAAAAATATCTGTAGTGCTTAAGGTATATACCACAATAGAGTTGGCAAGGAATTATACCACCCACTTTGGTTGTAATATTCTCTGAAATTATAGTAGGTGGGAATTTGGTTCAAATACAAATTTAGTAAAAATATACTGCTCTAAATTTTGGTAAATGTCACCTTTTGCTGTTACTTATACTTACGTATTTATGGCCATTTATTACGTATTTTAGTCGAACATGATGCAATTTTTTTAAAACGTCCTAGCGTCAAAACCATCCGCAGCACAATGCCATATCGTGCGAAGTAGTTTTACATGGGGAGCTAATGGGTCTCATTTCCATATTGTCTTCCATACTTTTCGAAATAGCATTTCTATACTTGCCCTTCCATATTATTTTATGTTTCTGAGGACAAAAATGGTTCACATCTCATTACCTGACACAAATGAGCCCACAAACCGATTATACACCCTGCAGAAATATATAATGATTCCAAATATGTAACAACCATTATGACCTCAAAGTCCTCCCCCTCCATCTCGGGGAGCTCTTAAAAATACTCCAATGCCAATGTTGTTATGCGGAGCCGTACTTCATGTCTTGACTCATTTTCTCTAAAAAATCATGTTGCTAAGTCCAGAAAAAATTGAAATATTCAACCTCTTGTGGTACCTTAATATAAAAGTATTTATCCATGTATGTACATACATGCATATTTAGAATTATAGGTCACCCTATGACTTCGTCGGAGAATACATTTCACAGAAATAGAAGTAGTTGTGGATAATAATATTTAGAATGTACATATGTACATGTGTGCATGTTATGTACAGTGTACATTGTACACATAACATCTGTTTCGAAGGGGGAACGCTTCACCCCTCCTCCGTCCAGGGAAGATGCAATGCACTTACGAATCCTGAACCCTTGATACCGTTGCCATGATGCATACATCCCCTCATCTCATCTCCCCTACAGGAGAAACCAACCACAATACACAACATCGCTCATCTGCAACATCCCATCATATTGAAAATAGTTACATAAATCTTATTTTTTCTAATTCTTGGAAAAATTCGCTTGAAAATTATTACTCGAATCTAGTCAAAAAATATCTTCCCATTTTTTGCGATCATGTCAACCAACGTAGTTCCACAAGTCAATAATCACACAAGGCGCGACAATTTTCGGACTATAAAAACTTTATCCAAATGTCTGCTGGCAGTTTGGGTGACATTTTCTGTGTCATACCTTATAATGTGCTACTTTTTTTGGGGTCAATTCTTGGACAGGATATCCGTCGTGGACAAGGACGAATGGGACGGGGTCGAGTGGGACGGAAACGTGACATTCGAGACGTTGAGAAACGCCGGGTTTGGCGAGGAGGTCACCTTTCTCGAGAAGAATGTCATCGGACCCTTTGTTAATCGGGGTATTTACGCCATCACGGGACAGCGCGGGTTGGGCGGTCTGCTTCTGCACGGGGACACGAAAAGTTTCACGCTTTTTGCAACCGCGATTTGGAACGAGGTACGGAGAAGAAAGGGTGAAGTGACGCTTTATCGGAAAACGGGAGCATTGCTTCGATCCATATGTACGACACGGGAGAACACCTGGATAAAGGAATACTTTGAGCTGGTTTTCACTGGGGGGATGGAGCATCAACCGGCACTAATTTATTTGGGAAGAATCGACCCATTGTTTGGAAATGATTGGTGTAAGTTATTTATGTTTATGTTGAAATATCGTGTGTACTTGCAGCACAAAATTTAGTTACATACTTAATTAATTCTAACTTGACATATTTTTAATGATCATGAACAATTTGAACAAGACCCCATCCAAAGTGAAATGGGCTTTAAGTTCAAATTTAGTGACATATGTAAATATTGGGAGTGTCCTCACGACAGCGTCTGGTTTCCCGTCGCAACTCATTTTGCAAACCTTAATCGAAAAAAAATGTGGTGCGAGGATATTCTTATAATATGATATCGCAAATTTCTCAAACCTGTACAAATAGTTCTCTTAATTTGGTCTCCATGGAGTATTTGCAATTTCTAAAGAGGATGAGTTTTCGAAATAATTTTGCTAAATAAGAACATATCCAATTGCTGACTAAATTATAGATAAAATCCTATAGCAACAGTTTTGTGAAATCTCACAAATTTCTCAAATCTTCCGAAGTCATGCTGCTATGCTCAATTTGAGAGATATGCAAAGCTTGACGTTGAGTACGCTCATATCACATAAATTGTTCCTCAACAAAACCAATCTTTTTTTGCAGATCTAGGTGTTAACATAGCGGAAGATTTGTTCGAACGAATAGAAGACGCAAGGGATAAAGAAATCATGACAATTGCTGGTGTCGACTACATGTGGAAAGTGACACAATTTAATTTATACGAACCATTCAAAGCTTTCACTCAAGTGCTTCATATCCCGACATTGCTTTCTCTTTCGGAAAGGAGGACACTTTTGGAGGAATGTGTTGCCAAGTGGGTTCGGAAGCCGAGTGACGAGATGTTGGACTTGCTGGCAGACGCGACTGGGATCCTGGTACGCAACAAGTTTGATCTTGACGCCAAAATTGTGAAGGTTTGTCAAGTCGCGTATAAAAATGGGGTGGAAGGCTGGAAGAAGAAGAATCTTGGCGAGTCGATAATAAGAGGGGAAGATATCAATCCATCCTGGAAGGACTGGGAGGCTTCTTTCAGGTCGGTTTTGAAAGAAGAAGAATAATTGCTTATTTTTACTTTAATGAAGATTTTTTAATGGCTAGTGTAAGTCAGTTGAATTTTAGTTCTGTGTGAAATTTTAGATAAAATAAATGATTCTGTCGAAATTAAGTATGTGTTTGTATGCCTCTATTAAACTATGTGGTCAATAGTCAAGTTTTATATACAAATGTAGTTAAAATTGGAATAATACTAAATTGAACAGTTATTCATGCAGATGCATATGTGTATATGAGAGATGTACATATACATACGTATGGATGCGTGATGTATGTAAGATACATGTAAATATGTACGATGTATGTATCCATATCACAAAGTTTGGGTATACACCTCACGGTTTGCATGATTATCGATTACAAGAAGCATGTCGGAACAGCAGACCACAAAAGAGTCGTAATTAAAAACTATGACCTAAAAAACGAGTAAATATTTTAATTAAATAGTGTCGCCATTCTAAAACCAATTAAGTTCACGTTAAATGATTATTAAACAGCCTGTTTAAAAAATACCTTTATTTATCTTCTATGTTTTACATTGGCATATTATTAATTACTAAATTCCGATAATTAAATAGGCTTAAACAACACTTTATACAGTTTACTCTCTGTACTGAATAAGTCTTAATTCAATCGAACAATATTTCTCCTAATTGTGGGTCCAGGTGTTCCGTACGTGACACGAACAATGAACCCATTCGCGTCTGCGGTAATGAAGAGGTGACCGTTGTCATTAAAGGCGGCATCGACCGGTCGAATACACGGGCCGTTGGCGCAACCTGCCACATCCAGCTCGCTAATGACATTGAGCTCCTCCCCCGTTGCGTTTCCGGCTGCGTTGAATGGGAAACGTGCGACTCGATAACCCGACGCCGGAGTACGATTCCAAGATCCATGGAAGGAAACGAAAGCGTCGCCGGTCATGTTGCAGGGGAACGCGCCACCTCCGTTACCACAGTTCTGACCTCGGTAAAAGTCAAACCCAAGGGGAGCTTCGTGCGCCGACATGGCAATCAAGGGCGGTCGGTTCTTTAAAGCAATACAATTTTCTTAATAAGAGCTTTAAAATTTAATCGGGAATTTCCTAAACTCTAATTGAAAAAAAAGATATTCAAAAAATTTTATCTAAATTGAAATTGTGAAAATTCAACTGAAAATTTACTAAATTCAATGTTTCAAAATCGAAATAGATGTAGACAATCTAAGAAAACGTGACTTTTCGAATTTTAGTTTTTAACAGAATTTGCATCATTTTCAAAATTTGGGATAATCCTGTCGTGACCTAACAATGTTACAATGATAATGTGGATAACAATGTTATCTACATTTAAGCCGAATTTAGTACTTACATTGTTCACATTTTTGCACCAATCATCATTGTGGACACCGTCGTTCATGAAATCTGGCCACGCGAATTGCGTGCCTGGAGCATAACCAGGTAAATTGTACGTACTGAAGCAATACGGATAACCAAAATGTTGTCCGAGTGGTCCATCGAAACGGTTAAATTCTTCCGTGGGGTTCAAATCGTGAATGTCACCGCCTAAATCGGCACGATTTAAATTGTCCGCACCGTTTTCAACGCCGTGAAGGACACCATTATTGTCGAAGGCGAGACCCCCCTCATTTCTGAGACCTTCGGCAAAAAGCTGAATTCAAAGGGACAATATTAATATTTCTGATTTGTTTAGGGAATTTTAGAGAAGTAGATACTTACCTCTCCTTCTGCATATTGTTTTGGCAAATTTCCCGTCAACGTAAATCTCAAGAGTTTGGCACGACTGGAATTTTGATCGACATTATTTTGCGATCCAATACTGCAGTAGAATCGACCTTGCGAATCGAACACGATGGCGTGCGAATCATGACCTCCGGTGGGAAGGCCGGTCACTACTAATTCTTCTCCTACACTGATTTGAGTCCGGTTTCCAGGTGTGTAAGGCCACCTGTAAATTTATTAGACTGATACAAAATAGTTCAGTATTTAACACACAAATTTGCTAAATTTATGCAAATCCGTATAAATTTGGACAGAATAATAAATTTGGACAGAAATGCAATTTATGCAAACAGTGGAAGCGTGGATACAGAAGGACAATATCCTCACGGTTGTTCGATGTTCCCATCATTTGCTCATGTTATATAAACCCTTCCCTCCCCTATCCTACAATGTTACTGTCCCCACATCTTCCGCGGCCACTGCATGTTAACTTCTAACCTGTAAATTGAACTGGCACTGCCGGCATAAATGTATCCATCATTATACGCCACGCCATGATTGAGGTTTAATCCATTTCCGATTACGATCCTCTGATTCACCACGTCAATCGTGCCATCGCCATTTTGCGTCTCGTACACGACCGCAATCCCGTTAATGCTTCTCCCCAAGATAAGCAAGTCTCCCGCGGGGTCGGTGATTATTCCGCGGGCGCCACCCACGCCGGTGTACTGCGAAGCGTAAAATGGTGGACTTGCGAACCACTGAGAATTCACCGCAGCGAAAAGCGTTACTAACACGACGGTCGTTTTCATGACGATAAGGAGAGATTTATACTCGGAAAAGCATGGACTACTGATGACGATACGTGATTCTCACGAGATTTTATAGACTGGAGAAAACAATGCAAATTTTTTAAGAATACCGTAATCTCAAATCATTCATATCATTAATTGTGACGGTGACACCGAAGTTTTTTTAGCCAGGCGTTATCTCAAATTCATTACGTGATCACGAGGCATAATACAACTTTGTATGACAAATTTTTACACATGCATATTTATGCCTACTTTGTACGAGAAAATTGTAGGTATGCAACTGGTCACACGGCTGCAGCATGATTTTTGCTCTTCAGCAAGTTAATCAGTGATGAAATAAAGTCCTGATTAGCATTGAGGTGAGCAGAGTTTGCAGTTTGCACCTCTGGCCTGGTATTAACACAGATTTAGTTATTAATTAATCCATCAAATTTGCATACATACATATGACAATGTTAATGACGTCATATCATCGGCAAAGTGGAACAAAATGATGGATTGCATATTAAACTGCATCATATTTATGGGTTTATTTAAATACTATCAAATTGATGACCTAATAATTAGGATTCCAATGCAATGGACCGTGTGTATGTGCATATTTAGTTCATATCGATTATCAACTACGGTCTAGTTGAGTATCTAATCCAAACCTGGTCACATTTATCAAGTATGTTAATCAGGCGAAGCATTTATTTAATTTATGGTGACGTGATAAGTCATAATCTCCCAGTTACTATATATATTTTTATTTTAGTATGTAGTAGCATATATACATATTAGAAATAAGATATTGTAAAAGTAACATATTTCTAAACCTTAAGGTTTAGAAATGATAAGGTCAATGATAAGGATGCAAGATTGGGCCTTATCATGAAAATAAGTAAGTGTTTTCCCTTCTGAATTTTCAGCAAGAAAACATAATTTACAAGGGAATTTTTTTAGGCAATGAAGCATTTACTTACATATTTTCATGCGTAAGGCGTATCTCTGGATACTTACAATACTTACTTGTTAGTTATTGAGGACCTAAGGATAAGTTCTAGGTGCACGTTAATCATGCATAAGAGTGTGGAAACGTGCTACATAGATATATCAAAGGTTAGCTCTATTTTGTTAATCGCTTTTAACTCCAAATTGTTGAAGATAAAGTTGGTTCTTAATTCTCCAATTTAGAGTTGTTAAACATCTTTCTTGCCGAATACTTAACTACTTAAGTATGTATGTATGTATTCATCTTTGGGGCTAGATAGTAAGTTTTACTTTGTATCTAGCAAAATAATGTCATTAAAATGTAATGCAAACTCCATCCTGCATGCATATGTAGGTGCGAGTTAGTACACTACATGATACAATAGGTACATGTGTAAATTTGGTTATGTATTAACCAAATATATTTATACATATGTTTATTAAATTGTGTTACTAACCTAACAATTACTATTACAATTACTATTGTTTTTACTTTGAGCAATTACTTTGAGCAATTACTTTGAGCAAAAAAATGTATGATGTCATAAATGCAATGCTTTAATTCCCAGCGTGGAGAGTTTACCCCTGCAATTCTGCATTAAATGGGCTGCACTTGCATAACAAAACTAATTCCGCCCTGTGTTGCATAATACTTAAAATTTCGGGGACGTGAGGGTGACTGCGTGTTAGAGCTTTTCATGATCTATAAAAGTAAAGAAACACACGAACAAAGTTTAACCATCGGTCGGTGTCAAATGAAAAAGTTAAAAATAAATGTATAGCCTCTCTCTGTACGTAAATATGTATGTATGTACATACATACGTACGTAAGGTGAACGAAGTTGAGTGAAAGTGCAGCTTTCTTTTTGCCAGTCTTCAATCGTATATTAGTAAATGCTCATTTTCACAAACGTATGCAAGTACATATTTATTTATATACATGCTTATGTTTAATCACGTTCTCCAATCTTATCTTGCACTCTCCTAAGTATGTAACTAATGCGTCATTAAATTCTGCAACTAATACCAAGTTATTTTCATACCCTTTGCAGAAGATCTCTAGTACGAAAGTTTGAAGTGATTATCTTCACTATAGATCAGGACAAGGTTAAAGATATGTAGATATGTATATATATGTACATCGTATGCATGTGTATGTATGCACGTACATATTTATATTGCAAACAAGTTTTTCCAAGCCTAAATCAGACTAAAAACACTGTAAATTTGAACTTTATCAAAATAATATAAAGATAATTTGAAAAATTAAATATAACGTGCGGAATCATGATTCGCAATCTTTACTAAGACAAATAGATACTTGCCAAAATGACGAAACTTGTCTTTCCTTTCATTTTCTACAGCTACATATTTACATCCTTTCCAAAATTTCTAGAACAATTTTTTTTGCACCCAGGGCAATTCCAGTGTTCATGCGTAAATATTTTGGCCTTTATATGTAATTTCGTTGGTATTGTGAAACAATTCTTCAAGTTGTCAAATCCACACCTTTTCTGCAACATCAGTTCATTTCCCTTTCAAACCAGTTCATTGACTGGAGAAAAAGACCCCAGGAACAAACCAAAAGTTTACACATTTCGTAATATTTTCTTTAATTTACTTTCCCATTTTTCTAACGCACATAGTGCAAAAAATTTTGGCACATTTTTACGAATTTTCTCAACAAATTCTCGTACAAACACACCGTATTTATACATATATGTAGATCTCGGGTGAGATTAGGGATTCCAATCCCGGACGATTTTTTAAATCCCGGGAATCCCGGTTTAAGCCCTGACAAATACCGGGAAATCCCGGGATTTTTTTCCCGAAATTCAGATAAATTTTTTCCCGAAATTCAGGCATCAAGATCGGTCATTCTGTCGGTGAAGGGTTGTCCTCCTGAGTTGAGTTGAGTTGAGCTGAGTTGAGTTGAGGGTTAACTCAACTCAACTCAATAACAAAAATCACCGACTCAAACTCAACTCTAATGTTACTCAAATTAGTCTCAACTCAAACTCGACTCAACTCAAATGTTAGCGACTCAAACTCAACTCATATCATATTAGTCGACTAACCTTTTTTAGAGTTCAATATTTCACTCATTTCAAAGTGAGGTGAGTTACACTCTCGACTCAAACTCAACTCAACTCACTAACTCAATGAGTCAAATGAGTTGACTCGAACTCATTGGCAGTCCTAGTTACAAGTGATTTCGAATTTTAGTCGATGAATTTAAGACTGAATGAAAGGCTCTTTGACTGAACGAGGTAGTTCGTATATTTGAGCTTGAAATTTTTAAATTACCGAATTCCATATCCAATTTTAGTTTTTGAATAATTGTTCGCAATGTACGCCAAATAATACTGCTAAACGTAAGTTTTTTCTGGTTAACATGCTGGCCAATCCTTTATTAATTACTTATGTTTTCTGGAATGAAATTATCAAACTTTTTCTTATACCTCTCAAAGATAGAGGACGAAAATTGAGCTACCACAATACACCGAAATTTTACATTTGCCACAACATGCAAAACAATATGCTCGCTAATTTGTGTTGTTATCATATGTATTATGTGTAGGCCTGAAAATATACTTTATAATAATACTTATGCATGCACATATCTCGAAAACACATCAGTAAGTATGTAAATAAGTATTATAATTTATAAATGTGTTCAGGCTCGGTACTTTTAGAGCCATCCACCTTGTTTGCACCAAAATTTGACTAATTTCAAGTTATACGGTAATATCTGAATTTCGGGAAAAAAATCCCGGGATTTCCCGGTATTTGTCAGGGCTTAAACCGGGATTCCCGGGATTTAAAAAATCGTCCGGGATTGGAATCCCTAATCTCACCCGAGATCTACATATATGTATAAATACGGTGTGTTTGTACGAGAATTTGTTGAGAAAATTCGTAAAAATGTGCCAAAATTTTTTGCACTATGTGCGTTAGAAAAATGGGAAAGTAAATTAAAGAAAATATTACGAAATGTGTAAACTTTTGGTTTGTTCCTGGGGTCTTTTTCTCCAGTCAATGAACTGGTTTGAAAGGGAAATGAACTGATGTTGCAGAAAAGGTGTGGATTTGACAACTTGAAGAATTGTTTCACAATACCAACGAAATTACATATAAAGGCCAAAATATTTACGCATGAACACTGGAATTGCCCTGGGTGCAAAAAAAATTGTTCTAGAAATTTTGGAAAGGATGTAAATATGTAGCTGTAGAAAATGAAAGGAAAGACAAGTTTCGTCATTTTGGCAAGTATCTATTTGTCTTAGTAAAGATTGCGAATCATGATTCCGCACGTTATATTTAATTTTTCAAATTATCTTTATATTATTTTGATAAAGTTCAAATTTACAGTGAGGCAATTCACGCCCTCCTTCGTAACTACGTAAACAGCGTAAAATCCGTAAACTTACAAACGTTTACAAACTTTTACAAAAATTGTCAAGGAAAATCAGTTTACAAACTTTTGTAAACTTACGCAGCTCACAGGCGTCTTTTAATTTTGTAAAGTATTTTGTAAACTCAATTTGCGGAAGAAAAAAATTTGTTCGATACAGAAATTTGGCATAGAGGTTGCTAATGGCTCCTAATGAAAGAATATGAAGTGAAATTGGAAAATTTTTCATCTGGAGGTACCCGAAGGGGTGACCCATACCGATTTTTCAAAATCATCCAATCGAGCTGAAATTTGGTATAGAGGCTGCTAAAGGCTCCTAATGGAAGAATATGAAGTGGAATTGGTAAAAAAATTTGTAAAAAAATTGGTAAAAAAATGGAATTGTCTCAAAAAGCTAACTTGTCTCAAAAAGCTGACGGTGATAGCTTCTCATGAACGAATATGAAGTCAAAGATGAACAAAAAATAACCAGATGGGCAATAAGGGAGGGGCACCGATACCGATTTCTAAGAAGTTATATATTCAGCTAAGATTTAGTGTGATTTAGGATTAGAATTTAGGAGGGTTGAATTTCGAAATTTTTATAGGAACAGCCTTCACTGTTCGTGGTATTTATTATATCAATAAATGCAGCTCCACAAATTTCTTCCATTAATTTCCGTT